AGCAAAGAGCTGTGAAGTCATGACGTCAAACTCAAGCGCCTGTCTGTGTGGTACAGTACAACAGTAAACAAAGCGGTCGAGATCGATGTAGACCATACAAACTGAACATTTTTTATTGCACCTTTATTTTACATGTTCACCTCGCAGAAACAGCAATGATCATTGACAGACATGTGCCGGCAATTACTTGGACACCACTGAGCGTTCCGCCGCATTACATATGTCAAGACCAAATAGCAGATTGCTTAAATTAAAAATGTACCCACTTACCGTCAAGTGAACGAATCAAGTGAAACCGGCTGATGAATCAGGCTAGTGGAAAAGCAGGGGGTAGGTGAAAACAAAAATTCTCCGAGCAAGCTAAAGATGAGCGAAAAACATTACAATAAGATTAAAAATCTCATAAAAGTCTATTTAATATGTCCCCTTTAAAATGTATCCTATTATTTTAGATTAACAAACAAAACTACCTCTTCTATGTTGTGTTGTCATCTGAAACCAAGCAACAGTCAGATAAGTCAGGCTTTTCTATTTTCTGCCATGTTTTACACGGCTACAGATATCTACATATAGACAAGATTATTTATTCATCCATCAGTCCGAGCAGAGCAAACCGTATAGGCGCGTGTCGTCAATTATACATGCGTCTGAATCTCACCACATCTGTCAAAACAACATGCACCGAGGAGGTCAAAAACAGGCCCTAATTCACATGTGTGTTTGATATAACGGGCTATGAGTTAACATCAGGACGCATGTGTCACAACCTTTGTTTAAATATCTATGAAAGAATGACTTATTTATGGAGGTACAGATGTGACGCATTTATCTGTGAAGAGCAAGAGAGAGGAGTGAGGCGTTAAAGGGCCCATACACCTTCACTAGAATCACTTGGATGATTTTTGCCCTGATTGTCCAATATCGATTTATCAAAAAGGGAAAACTGTAGCTGTTGTTAACTTGAAAACTACCACTCCCTGACATTGCATTGTGGGACAAAGTATTTTGAGCTTTAAACCTTTAAGACGTAAACAGAGAAATAAATAGGAATTACTCAAACATGTGTGAATGAAACAAAACACAACTCCAGGTATGTTTTTGAGGAGGTAGATTCTAACATGGCTTAAAGCTCTCAAAAGTCATTTTTGTTTTGTTATTCTAGTAACAGGCTTGTCTGTGGTCGTCCTCCAGGCGCGTTGGTCACATAGGTCCAGAAACCAGAGTCCAGAGCTGCTCGCACTGGGTCAGGACTCTGGTTTTGATTTGGTTCGACTGTAGCATTTCTCACACTAGGCTAAATGCAGTTAATTTTATAAGTTGAATCACTTGAATAGTGCCTATTCAGTTTAGACTGTTTGTGTCTTTTTCTTTTTTCACATTTGAGTTTGTATTGCTCAACAATTCGGAGATGGGGACCAGTGAATATTGATGGGTATTTCACACACTGATGGCAGCTTCACTTGACTCGTCTGTCAGCTTCAACCGGGATCCAATACAACTGAACCCCTGTGTCTTTATCTCTCTGCTGATTACAGCTCTGTGCGCAACACTTTTCCAGTGTGTCTCAATGCGAAAATTTAAGGAACGACTCGAAAATGTGCTAACTTTACAATGGCGGTCTGTGGGCGTGAGCCGCCAGAAGTGGATCAGGGAAATGCCATGACGTCACATGCAGGGTCTCTGTAGGACCTTTAAGACAGTGGTGGACAATGGTACCATGCTGTAATAATAGAAAACATATATGGTTTTCTAATGAATCTCAGTGACAAATATTTAACGGTGGATATTTTGTGATGTGATCATTCTGACCAGAACCAGCTACTGTTTTATAAGAAAAACTATAACCGTTTTATAGGTAAAGATGGACTGCGTAACCTTTCTGCTTGTGTCCATGGAGATTATTTTGCTGTGACTGGCATTTTCCATTGTAATATTTATCAGGAACAGTGGTCGGCAACCTTAAATACTCAAAGAGCCATTTGCAGCGTCTTCCACAGAAAAGAAAACACCCTGACCACAAAACCCTTTTGACTCTTTTTTTTTTTTTTTTACCTGAATGCTATGTATAAAAGACTATATTGTGTAGAATTTCATTGATTTCATACATTTTAAAATATTTTTAACTCCAAAAAACAAGACACTTGGTTAATGCTTACTTTCAAATTAAATATTCAGTGTTTATTTGAGTCCTCCTTGTAGAAAATAAAAATCTACATTTGAATTATCTATCCACAAAAATGCCTCTTTGTTCTGTCATCATTTTATCACTGGAGCATGTGTGAATCTGCCCATGTAGCATTGAACATTCTGTTTTCTTCAGAAACTTTTCTTTTCTTGGATTTATTCATCATTTATCTAGCAGGGGTGGAAAAGATCATGCTGCTGGTGTAGGTGCCGGTAAATCCGGGCTGTCAGATACTGTATGTGCTGGGTCTCGCACATACAGTCTGTGATCAGCGGCTATGATGCATATTTTAAGTGACAAAAATATTAAAATCATTTTTATTTTAATGGTACAAGATTACCATTATCTGCAAATTTAGAATTACATTTAAAAACAAACAAATGAAATAATATTTATTTTCCAAAGTCACAGGGAGCCACAACAGAAGGATGAAAGGGCCACATGCGACTCTGGAGCCACGGGTTGCTGACCCCTGATCTAGAATTTATTTTATTTGTTTTATTTAGGTCGTTTTATTGCTCAACATGAAAAAAAAAAAAAAAAAAAAAACATTGAGAAAAGCATGTTACAGACCCTCCACTAGAAAAGTTCCTGACTGCACCTTTAATAGGATTTTATTTATCATTATATAGTTACTGTCATTGTGAAATACCAAGAAAACACAATACAAGCAATTTATATAGTATGTTTGTTGCGAATTAACTGTTAACTTCTAATTTGCTTCGTAACTATTCTGTGTCTTACCTAAGTTTAAACTCACAACAAGTCTATAAATAATACAGCCTAATTAGCTCACAAGATTTACTAAAGAAAACATCTGTTGCTTTCTTCCTCTAAATATATTTTGTCTGTCAGAACCACATAATAGGCTCTCTCCAGCCTCAGTGTGTAGTCCACATCCTCAGAGTTATTGATACTTCCTGTCTGGCTCTCTCTGAACTGTTGGCTGACATTTTACATTCACAGCTCCCTTTTCAAATTAAGCTCTGTGTTTCCCTCCGGCCGGGATACTTGGTCTCCATGGTAACATCGTGTCCATTATAAGTGCAATAAAGAGCGTTAAATCACCCATCTGCCACTGTGCATCACCTCTGCGGGGCCATTACGTAACCTCCCGGCCCACAAGAGGATCCACTACTTTTAAACAATTTTAGTTTGCTTTGGCTCTATATCACACTTGCACACCGCACTGCAAAAATATCCAAAAATATCAAATGACCTAAATTAAAGGTGTGACCAGAAGTATATTTAGTTAGTAGGTCTAGTTTGACTTTATACAGCTAAATTATCTACCAGTGGAGATTCGAAAATTGCACTTTTTTTTTATAACTATTAATGGTACACTGTGTAACATTTCTGGTGCAGAGTCTGTCACCAGCTTCTCTCCAAGGAGATGTTGCCTGGAATGTTCCACAGTATGGCATTCCACTTATATATCGTTATGGAGGCAGCAGTCGATGCCACCAGGATAAGTTACATGTTAGATCTGTGGAGAGGCGAGCCCACTCACATTAAGAATACATGTTTTTAAGGCAATAAAAATCAATGTTACTGAGTAAATGCAAAAAGGATATATTTAATGCCATAGCGGAACATTCCAGACAAAACAGTTGACCAGAAAAGTTACACAGTGCACCTCTGAGGATGCAAAGCTATTCTTCTGTCACATTTGGGGTTAAATTTTGGGCTTAAAATATATACATATTTTTAAAATAGAGTAAAAAACAAATAAACTCTACTGAGTGAAAGGTTAGTGCACTATGGACCTTCTGATGGAGCATCTCCCACACAGGGACCACAAATTTTCACTATTGCAGAATACTTGACAAATACAAATTTCTAAAATGGGACAACACAATCAAATATGCAGATTTAAATTTGGTATATAACGTTTTTAATCATCTTACGCCACCTCCTCTAAAGGAGTTTGTGAAAAGAAATTCAAATCGCACAACAAGAGCAGCTCTAGAGGCGACTGCTCTGTGCTGTTTAGGAAAAGTGCTTTTGGACAAACTCTTTTGTACAGTACCTACTCATATATGAGAACTTTCAACACTGGCAGCATTTTGTGTGATTGTTGTTGTACTTTTCCCTGTCCTGTAGATGATTTTGCATCAATCTGCCAAGGGACTGAAGGTGGACATGAGCCACGCTGGCTATAATCTTTACATATTTACATTTTAAACGTTCATTAACATGTGCTGTCCCTTTATAATTAAATAATTAAGAAATAAGACCATAACCTGCTTGTCTCGGTGGAAACTAGCTAGTGAGTCCACCAAGTCAAGTTACAGATCAGATCTGTGATGAGACACATATACGATTACAGTAAACATGCATGTTTTTCAAGACAATAAAGCCCTTGTAATTGAATAAATGCAAGACGGATACATTTAAAGTCTTCCTGTGAAACATTCCAGACAAAGCATTATTATCCCCATGGAGACAAGCAGCTGGCATACACCCACCAGAAAAGTTACATAGCACATCTTTAATGAGTCAATTTAAAACGGCTCAAAACTTAACATAAGGTTCTGAATTTAAATCATTTCAACTAAAGTAGTCTAAATATTACACTTTTGTGCAGTGTTAAAAACCAGCAAGCAAGTGACCTAAATAAATCTAAATGAGTCAAAAAACACTCTGAACAAGATTTACATTGGAAATTCAGTCCATTTACACTTTTTAGAGTGTAATGGAGAGTCAAACAGCGACCCCAAGTGGCCACGCGTGGTATACGTCGCTCTGACAAATGGCCGTGGCTTTGCAGTGTTGTGGAGCAGCGCTGAAATGAAACTCATTTGTCACTGTGCAGGTGTTTACGCGCTATGGGAAGTGCTACACGTTTAACGCGGGCGGAGATGGACGAACTCCTCTCGTCACCACGAAGGGAGGCATGGGCAACGGACTGGAGCTCATGCTGGACATTCAACAGGACGAGTACCTGCCCGTGTGGGGGGAGACCGGTGAGGACGGGACTCATGCACAACACACTCACTTCATCGTTTATATGGTGATCTGGTGCATCAAAATTAGAAACTGTTTTTTTGGGTTTTTTTTAAAATCCGAAGTAAATATAGAGAAATGGGCAGATAGAGGGTAGATGAAAACAGAAATTTTCTTGTTTGCAGGACAAACCAGCATATTACATGAATCAATAAATCAAACTTTGTGTAAGTGTTAAAAAAAATAAGCTTAAAAAAAAGGAAAACATGAGTACATTTTGCTTTTATAAAGAGAAGTTGAGTACTCATACATATTCTTGCACATTATTAAAAGCAACAGTCCGTGGGTTTCTCCTTCCTGTTGTATGCAACAGACTTTTCCCCATTCAAACATAGGACTATAATATTTTTGTTTTAAATTGTTAATCACTATGGCAATGGTCCTTGGTCCTAATTTTTCATCGTCCTTAAACTTATAGATATTGTCAGTAATTTTGGAAGCCTACTCTGCATGTTACTGTAACAATGCATAGTGTACCCTCCTGGAGGATGAAGAAAAATAAAGTCAATATGATGTAATAATATGTGGTTCTTTTAATTGTTTTACAGATGAGACGTCCTTCGAGGCTGGTGTCAAAGTTCAGATCCACAGTCAGGACGAGCCCTCCTTCATTGACCAGCTCGGGTTTGGAGTGGCCCCTGGATTTCAAACATTTGTGTCCTGCCAAGAACAACGGGTAACTGTCTGATACACTACACAACTGCTGTTTCAGATCATTTTAAAGACCTGTAGACTTTATTTGAGATGATGGCTGCTTGATAAATACATTGTAATTATTGTCCTTGTCTTTTGATATTATGAACTGTAATTAGATTTGACATTTGATCTAAACTTACAAACTGACACAAGAACACTGGCCATGCCATTTTGTGAGGGTGGAAAATGGGAATTAAAAGTGAAAGGAGTGAGCACTGACATTCATGAGAAGTTTAAAGTCTTTCCTAAAGTTGATCAAATGTATTGTATTGAAGACCACATAATTTAAGGCAAGGGTAAGGTAAGGCAAATGGAGAGTGGGAGTGTGGAATTAAATTCCATCTGTGTCCACAAGGGCCTTGAACCTTCAAAGTTGCCATACTGTAAGTTCAAAACTGAGGGACCAATAATAGTACAGAAAATTATGCAGTCCTAACCAACCGTCTGCCTCAGACCTTTCTAAGATAGTGTGTTTTTTTGTTTTGTTTTGTTTTGTTCCATACAAAAGATAAGCTAATTAAGTAATGACTGATTAATTGCTATCATGAATTATAACACTGACACAATGTTTGGACTAATTTTCAGTTTCATAAATGTATTAAGAATAGGGTGACAACCAGTCCTCCTTTTGGTTGCTCATAAAAACCCAGAAAAAAGTCACAAAAACAGAATAAGAACTGTAGCCTATTCTTTGTGCAAAATATAATATATCTAGTGTCCTAAAAGCTAATTAATGTCATGTATGGACTCTAAACTGTGTCTAAAACAACTGGAATCAATGCTTCTGTATATTTCATTTAAATTATTACATTATTTGTTAATTGTCCTTCTTTTTCTGCTTTTGTGGCAGTTATCCATACTGGCATCCATTACTGCCACTTTGAATGGGGTCCACATTTTATCTAAGCATTTTTTGTTATAAGTCATAACAATACACTACCACTAAATTATTTTTCATCTTTACAGCAGCTTTCAACAAACTGCAGTAAAGAATCCTCCACGCAGGCCCTTGTTCAGTTTGTTTATGTCATGTATCTATAAAGTGTGTTTATGTCTCTGTTTATGAGACTATGGGCACTGGCCGATGTTCTGGCTTCAGCTTTGAATCTTAATGCAACACCTGCACTTTAAATGTGATGACAGCAGCACTTTATTTACATTACATTAAGTCTGACCATTACACTGACAGAGATGTGGCTAGAACACTGCGATACCTCTCATAAAGCTCAACATTATAATGAACAAGCAACAATTTGTGTATATTTGCATTTTTATATATGGAAATGAGCAGTACATCACAAACCAAAGAATGTCTGTGCCAAAGAAATGGAAGCTGTTGCAAAAAAAAAAAAAAAAAGTCTCCATAAGGCTTTCCTGGTTCAATTACTATTAACCAGTTAGTAAACTAATATTTTAACATTTAAAGTACCAACATTTTAAGGTACTTTTTCTTTTCCAGCTAAAATTGCACATAAGAATTTATTTTTAGGACATGTTTTTTTCTTGAAACAATTAAGCAACACATAAACAAAATAAGTGGAAAGCAATATAATAAGTCTGAATTCAAGTCATTTACATTTTTTAAGAGAAGCTAACACTGATCCCAAGTGGCAAGTGGTTAGATTTTGATTTTGGTGCACTTTTGAAGAGCGAAACTAACTGAAAGACATTGACTTGTACTGTCCTGTATTGTGCTCTGTGCAGCTCATATATCTGCCTCCACCCTGGGGTGACTGTAAAGTGACACCCATGGATTCCGACTTCTTCGACACATACAGCATCACAGCGTGTCGCATCGACTGTGAGACGCGCTACCTGGTGGACAACTGCAACTGCCGAATGGTGCACATGCCAGGTACGGTTTAGAACAAGGCTTGAGTCAGAGATTTACTATATCAACTTACTGTGCAATATGTGATTGTAGAATTATTTTGGTGGTCAATATTTAAAGTTTTTCTTTGTACTGGTGATGAATAAATAACTTCTAGGACTCACTAAGTGTTTCATTTATTTATTTTAGCTCATGTTCATTGACAATCCTTCACATGTAGAACAATTTTCCTGCTTTAGGCTTATCATCAGTGACATAGTATAGTTCAGTATTATTGTAAATGTATAAGATTTGATTTGGTAATCTTTGGTAATGTTGAGGAAAACAACCTTTACTTCACAAGTTCATTAGTTTCTGCTTAGATAAAAATTACACTTCAAACAGAAATAAAGTTCAGATAATTTACTTATTCCAATATTAGAAAGTCATACTTGTACAAGGAGTCTGTGCTGACATTCTCATGCAAAGACTCTATGTTTACATCTACACAATGACTTTTAGATGCAAAATATAGTGGGAGGCTACCGTGGTTTAGACTTTGCGCCTCTTCGTTGGTGCACAGGCCAGCCAGGCCTCTTGGCACATTGCACAGTCCAATCAGACTCCATCCAGGGAGTTATCTGGCTAACAAGTCATGACATCATCCCTATCAGTAGATCTTGTCCTATTTAGTTAGTTTGCAGTTAGATAAACTGGAATATCATGCATTTGTCCTGACATATATTTATGAGTCTCACAGCTGTGATAAGAGCCTTTACTCTTCAAATGACCTCGGTACAATAATGAACTATAACAGTGATTATACAAAATAGCTAAGCCTGCTTATTTATCCTAACAGTAATCTCTTGGTCAGTACTACTGTTGCAAGATGTAGTCCATGTTTAGACCTGGAATAGTTCTGTTGTAGTCTTTGTTTAGATATGGTAGTATTCAAATTAGATGGTACCTTGTATAAAAAAAAGTCTGAAAACTACTGCTCTAGAGATTTGAGAATTTAGGGAAGAAACTATAATTTTTTTACTATACCACACACAAAGGATAACATTCGATTTACTTTCTAATTAGACTTGTTGTATTAGGTTGTAATTTAAAAAAAAAAATTCAGAATATTAAAGTAATTGAAAATAATAAAGCATATTGTGTGTTGTGCTTTGTGTGCAGGAGATGCCCCTTACTGCACTCCAGAGCTGTACAAGGAATGTGCTGATCCTGCGCTCGGTGAGAAATTCTGAGACTGCTGTATATTTAAAGAGAAAAACATGTCAGAGTTAAAATAATGTACTCCCAGGGCTGAGAATGTTTATAAGAGAAACTTAAGGCAGAATAAAAATGAGCATTAAATTAAAGCTTCTGGCATTTTGACAGTGAATAAAGCCAATTTTTATTCGCTGCCAAAGTATAATGTTCCTTATCCATTTAGACATTTAGAGCTATTGCTTTTATTGCCAAAAGCGCATTAAATTGAAAATTATGAATGTAATCTGTTAAATACATTTAAAAGATTTATAATAATGATGAGTTTTTGAACACTTTAGATTCTGTGTCTAATTTATTTAAGAAAGGTGAGACTCCCCATATTATACAAAATTTACTCTTGTGAGCTGTAAACCAGATTAGAATATTGTCACCTCCTCCTTGTTTCATTCACACGTTTAAGTAACCCTTTATTATTACTAATTATTATTATTACTATTATTATTAAGTTAACAGCTATTTTTTACCTTTAGTTCAGTAGAGATTGACAATTCTGGGGCTCAGATCATCCAAATTCTAGTGAAGGTGTATGGAGTTTAAAAATACGGTAGAGCATTTCCTTTATTACCACATGACATCACAAGGTGAAACAGAGTATTTTCTATTAGAGAGAAGAACTCAGCCTAAATGTTCTTCTTTGTGTGAATGAAACAAAACACAACTCTGGATATGTTTTTGATGAGAAAACAACATTACAACATAGGTCAGAGAATCAAATCTGAAACTATGGGCCCTTTAAATGGTAATAAACAACAGTTAGTCATATGTTTATTGAATACATTTGGGTGTTTTCCCTGCAGATTTCCTGGTGGAGCGTGACAATGACTTCTGTGTGTGTGAGACTCCCTGTAACATGACCAGATACAACAAAGAGCTGTCGTTTGTCAAGATCCCCAGTAAAGCCTCAGCCAAGTACCTGGCCAAGAAATACAACCGCACCGAGCAGTACATCAAGTAAGTGGGACAAATGGTCTCTATACATTTACTGCACCAAGAGGAAGGGAGAAATGAAGGCTAAAATAGTGTTCTTGTAAAATACCAACTGGTGCTGCATCTGCCCTGCAGGAAACAAAATAGTATATCAAAATTGTCTCAGATGTCTTCCAGCTAACTAACATTTACAAAGCCTAATACATTTGGCAAAAAATAAAAATAAATAAAATAAAATAAATAAATAAATAAATAAATAAAATAAATATATATATATATATATATATATATATATATATATATATATAATATATATATATATATATATATATATATGATAGATAGATAGATAGATAGATATAGATATAAAACATTAATTGAGTTATCCTGATGTTATTAAGTCCAGTTGGTCTTATTTGGGTTTAAGTTTAGTCCTTAGAGGTGCACTATGTAACTTTTCATGTGGATGGTCTGCTACCTGTTGTCACCATGGAGATATCAATGCTTTGGCAAGACTACTCCACAGTATGGTATTAAACCTGTATGTTTTGCATCTAAGTGTTTTATTGTTCAAAAATACACCTGAAAACATGTTACTGTGGTTACATAGATCTGACCTGTAACTGGTGGCGTCCGTGAAGATAGATATGTCTAATGCCAAATGAACTATCTAGGCCAGACATGTCAAACTCAGGACCGGGGGCCAAATTTGGCCCGCAATATAATTATATTTGGCTCACAAGATCATATCAAATATGTATTAGAGCTGGCCCGCTGACTACAGAGACATTATAGAGACATTATTTATTTTAAATTGTGTTATTATTTTATATTTTGCTTGTTCTGGATTCAATGTTTAAGCAAATCTATTATTAAACATTTATTTAAATTAGAACAGGTTTAACATTACATATCTTGAAAGAAGAGAAAACATGCAGATGTTGTTGAAATTTTTCAATAAATATTTAGTTTGACGCACAGCTTAGTCCCAGTTTTTAATTTTGGCCTCTGTGAATTTGAGTTTGACACCACTGATCTAGGCAAAGCAATAACATCTCCATGGAGATGAGCAGGTGGCAGAACCTCCATCAGAAAAGTTACTTACATAGTGCACCTTGAAGTTTGATGATGAATTGAAATAACTGTCAATATATTTGCATATCAGATGTTGCATAATACATACATCTCCATATCTGTTTCTCTGCAGGGACAATATACTTGTTCTGGACATCTTCTTTGAGGCTCTAAACTATGAGACAATAGAGCAGAAAAAGGCCTATGAAGTGGCTGGACTTTTAGGTATGACTTTTTATTTTTAGCTTTATTAAATGCAAAAATAATCATTTTAAAACTAGGGCATGTCTTTTCTTTTTAGGTGACATTGGAGGACAGATGGGGCTCTTCATTGGGGCCAGTATACTCACCATTCTGGAGCTGTTTGACTATCTCTATGAGGTGAGGATGTAATGGTGATTTTTGTATTTGGATTTCAGATTATAACACAACAGCCTGGATCTAGAGAGAATCACTGTTGTTATTATTCATTGTCTGTAACTACAGACCAATAGCTATCCTCCCTGTGCTTTCCAAAATTATAGAAAAAGTTGTTGCTGATCAACTAATTGTGCACCTTGAAAGGAAATTACTTCTGTACTCAAAACAATTTGGTTTTAGGCCTAAATTCTCTACTGAACTTGCAAACTGTCATCTAATAGATAACATTAAAAAGTGTTTGGACCAAGGTAATGTAGTTGGGGCAGTGTTTCTTGACCTAAAAAAGGCCTTTGAAACGGTCAATCATAGTATTTTATTGGGTAAGTTACATCAGTTCAATTTTGCAAGGGAAACTGTTAAATGGTTCTCATCATATATTAAAGGGAGAACCCAGTGTGTTCGGGTAAATGGAGTCACTTCTCAACAACGAGCCAATCCCTTTGGGATTGGGTGCCACAGGGGTCTGTACTTGGCCCCTTGCTTTTTTCCATATATATTAATGACCTCCCTCAATGCTGTCCTACTGTTAATGTTCAAATGTATGCTGATGACACTGTATTGTATGTATCTTCAAAAACACCAGCTCAGGCTGGTGCACACCTGAGTCATGCCTTACAACTTGTCTCAAAATGGCTTAGTGTGTCACACCTGACTTTGAATGTGAAAAAAACTGTTTCTCTTTGTTTTTCAGTGCGTACACAAACAAAAAACTGTGACTTTGAAGTGACTATGCACAATGAGAAAATTCAAGCAGTCAGTGAAGTTAAATACCTCGACCTCATTCTAGATGAAAATTTAAAATTTACCGGTCACACAAAATACTTGAAGAAGATTAAGACTAGTTTCAGTTGCTTTCATTTCATACGTAAAGATCTATCTCTCCACACTTCTAAACTATTCATGAACGCAATGATCTTCTCTCATCGATCTTATTGTATCACCTCATGGTCCCAGGCCTCCTCAACTACATTGAAACCGCTTTGTTCATTATACAAACTGACCCTTAAGATCCTTGACAAAAAGCCCAAAAACTGGCACCACTGTGAAATTACAAAGAAACATCAACTTTTTAACTTTGAAAATTTTATCAATTTTAATAATCTTAAATTATTTTAGTGTCTTAACTGCGATACACCATTACACTCAGAATTTGCCAGGACCATAAAATGGTCACACAGAGCAAACACAAGAGGTGCTACTAGTGGTAATTGTGTTGTTCCTAGGTACAGGACGGCTCTTGGTCAGTCCTCGTTCTCTTTTAAAGGGGCTAGTCTGTGGAACGGTTTACCAGCTAATTTAAAATTGGAAACCAACTACAACAAATTTAAAAGGAAATTAAAATTGTTGTATGTTTCCAATCAAAACTGCATCCACTGAAAATGTACTGTATATATTTTTTCTGTATGTAATTTATGTGTCTTGTATTCTCTGTTTTTATGCGTGTAGTTTGTATTTTTATATGGACAGTCACTCAAAGCAATGCATCTGGCTTGTCTAATGCAATTGTGATGTCCTTAATAAACATAAATTTAAATTATTAATTACTTTTTTGAAATCTATGAATGTAGTATTAGACTGCATCATGGACTTACAATAAATAGGTCAAACATTTAAGAATAATGTTATATGAGTTTATTGTTGCCCAGTTTGTCCCATCTGAAAATCTGCAATCAATCATTTTTTTGGATATAAAGATGCTATACTATGAGATGGGGGAGTCAGTTTTCCTTTTGATTACATAGTATTTTCATAAGAAATATCTAAAAAAAATACCCAAAAATGTTAAATCTAGCCATATTATAACAATGTCATTGAACTTACATTATTACAAATACATTATGCACATTAGCAAAGTATTTTTTTTCTTTTTCTATCAATTATCATGTTTACCTTTTTGTTTCCCCCTTACAATGAAAGTTATTTTGTTTCATTGATTGATCAATTTTTAATCTGCACCTCAAGTGAACAATACAGGCCTGCATATAGTATTTAAACAGAAGTAAGTGTAAATAAGTAACCTTTACTTATGTAGTGATTTCCACAGATATAGTCAAAATGTGCTTCACAGTGAAAAGATTATATATATATATATTTTTTTAAAAGTGCATCAAAGTACTGTCAGTTTTTTGTTGATATATTTGTGTATTTGTATGCGCATGTATTTGAATGTATTTTAATGTGAATCTGTCCTTAGATGTCACTACAGTTAAAAATTACCATTCTGCTGAGACATATCCTTGTGTGTTTTGACTTGCAGGTCCTAAAGTACAAACTGTGTCAATGCTCTGATAAGAAGCACAAGCACAGCTCCAGCAGTGACCAGGGCACTGTGCTGAGTCTGGACGACGTTAAGTGTCACGTGACCAACTTTCACTAGGTCACGCCCCTCTAGGCTCCGCCCCCACTGTGTATGTGCGGCTCCGAGAACAGCTGTTTATGACTGTGAGCTTTATAACAGTGAAAAGGGACCTTGTCTGGGGCAAAACACTGTGGTATTTCATATGGACTGTCCCTGGTTCTGCTATGAGCTGTGACGGAGATCTGAAAAACGTAACAAAAGGGCAGGATGAATGCATGGTCTCCATCTACCATTCAAGATATAATATTGTTTTAGAATTTTTTATTTTTTATTTTTTTTTTTACCATTACAGTTATGTTAGCATGACATGTTTTCAACTTAAATAAATGTGTTTACTGTTTTTTACTTATTTTGTTCATGCCTATAACACATTTTAAATTTAAAACTTTCCTTTTCCTAAGATCTTCTACCTCGTTTTGCTGCATCCAATATTACATCACTTTGGTAATGATCAAAATTTACAATCAGTGCTTGTTTCGATGGAGATGTTATTGCTTTAACTGGCAGGAATGTTAAACAATATGGCTTTAAACAGTATTGCATTTATTCATTTGCACTTGTTTTGTTGCTGAATTGACCTTTGGCCTGGTGGTGACAACCTCTGCTTGTTTCCACAGAAATAGATAAGTTCAGGGCCATACTGTGGAACATTCCGAGCAATAACATCTCCATGGCGACAAGCAAGTAGCAGACCCTGCACCTGAAATGTTACATAGTGCATCTTCAAATCTTGAAGTTTATGAATGACTCAAAACCTAAATTTAGCCTTGACCGCTTGACCTGTCCTTCAGTGGGAATCTGCTTTTTGGTTGTTTTTTTGCTTATCTCATTTCCATTTTGTGTTTTACAATCAAGCACAACCATCACAAACTGTAATTTAGTGTAAATATGTTAAAAATGCAATGAAAGGTTATGATATCTGCCTGGCGTGTCCAATGTTGTACTATTGTGTTAAATAGTTTTGAGTAGATTCTTTCTTTACATATGTGAAGTCAGTCAGTACAGCTAATTTATCAAAATAGGCTACTAATTTTTATTTTATGCTAAGTAAAATCCAATGCTTAATAGTCTGTGTGTTTTTTTACTGCATGAGTTCCTCCAAAACCAGTGCAAATCAGTATGACAGATGGCAAAGCAATTCTGTGGTATATGGAAATGTCTACAAAATACAACAATTGTTTGAATAAAACTTTACATGCTGTTTTAGCCTATGCTGTGAGCCTCTATTTTTATTGCTATTGAGATATTGTTGCATTGTTTCTGTGGAGACTATGGTACATATCAGTTTAATTTTAGTCATTTTTATCTCATATCAGTTGTGGAGAATAAACGCCGCTTATTGCCTATAGTTAATCTTTAAGCAGTCCTCTTGGCCTAGTATAATTTTAAATGTTTATGATGATACAATGGACAACAAAGTATGATTTTGTGGTGCCAATGTACGACTATGGCAGAGAAGAGTATGCATACAGTATTCTCCCCTATTAATGGAAAACACTGTTAGTTCTTAGATATATAGGTAGACCTATATATCTATATCATGCAGTGTTATTATATAGGTGAAATATATACAGGCCAAAAGGAGTTGCTTAAAAAAAGTTAGACCTACTTTTTTGTTATGTAAGCTGAATTTTGTCAGAGTCTGCAGACCGTGTTGCAGAAGTGCAGTTTTGTTTCCTCCCTGGTCCCACAATCCTGACCATGTCCTACCTCATAGACTGACTTTCACGTGCTCATGACTCTGCAATGTAATATATATTAATCAAAGGCTTTTTAGGGTGACCACCTCAACTTGTACGCTAGTAAAAGTGTGGAAATGGATATGAAGTATTATAAGGTCATATCATATATCTGTAAAAGCTGCATAGGAATAGGATAAGGAGAATTGCAGCTGAAGTTAAACATTCCTAAATACATTAGGGCTATGAGTCAAGCACATGAAGCAGTAGACACACAGGGTATGCAGGTTAGTAGTAAAAAGCTCATTTCAACATGTTTTGCATTGGGTTTGGTTAGAACAGGTCAAACAACAGTCATAAAACTAATTTTCAAACCAGTGTCATTGTTTTAATAAATCTTTTTCACGTCTGTGTCACATTTCTCTGTATTGTATTCACAGTTGAAAACAATACAGAGAAATGTGTACAACTCATTGTTCATTTTAATTACAAGAAATATTTTTTGCAGTGGCACCATTCAATACAATAGAAATCAATGCATAGTAGTCATAGAAATGTGTATAAAATTGAAATTTGAGATGAAATTTTGGGTAGAATAAAAATATATACTTTAAAAAATACTTGACTATTCATTGGTATCATAACAGCCTACATGTAAACACACAATACAAAGTCATACTGCTTACAAGTTAATACAAAAATTACTAAAAATAAAAAGAATGATACTATAGATTGTTACATTTCGATTTTACAAACATGAAGAGAAATATATTGAACGTGACTTTGACACGGGGCACGGGGTCACATGCTTTAAAGATCCGCCACTAAACATAAGTAAAAAGTTTCTTTGTAAATATAACCTACTTTCTTATTTTTACGTGTCAGGAATGGAAAAGGATTATCTACAGGTGGAAAAGGTGACAGACTGAGATGAACATGCAGGAAAATCAAGAAGAACAAGTATCAAGTTACATTGCATACACACATTCGACTAGAACACACTAGTCTATCCCCATAAAGTCCATAGTTTATGCATGTCCACACTAGGCGCAGTGAGTGGGGGAAGCCGTGTGCGCGCAGACTTTGCACGGCGAGACCTCTGTCCCACTAAACCTCCTGTACTTACCTCTGGCTGAGTGGATGAATGACTGCGTTAGCGGCGGTGGGCGGGTCAGGTCCCCCTCTCAGAGTCCAATAAGAGCTGGGTGCTCGGTGTTGGGGATCTGGGTGCTACGCTCTCGTCTCTCCGTGTAGTTCATTGCATAACTCCACTGCGGCTCCCCGTATCCCTGGACCCCTCCGCGCTCCCTCCTCAGCATGGCAGCTCCAAAGAAAGTCTGCGTCGTGGGCTCCGGAAACTGGCAAGTAAAAGCGTTATTATGCATGTACAGGTGTTTGTAAAGACATAGTATCATAGCCTGAACCTGCTTATTTACATAGAATCCAGTGGCACCATGATCAGCACAAGACAGCAGCGCATGGCTAACCAACTAGCATGAGTGGGTCCATGTTCAAATGGCCTATAAGGACACTGTAACAGCCGCTCTATTGCATTGAACAGACCTGGACTATAGCCGTACCTTATTTTTATTTACACATAGATCAGTTCGTCACTTTTTCCTGAGAGGTAGTGGTTTATGAGAAAGCCGCTTGTTTTGATGAGCTGTACTTGCGTCGTAAGTTGCAGCGGTGACGTAGCCTTTCTCAACGTAAATATCCACATGTGATGAGCTAACTTTACAAGCTTTAAAATGAAACCAGCCCTTTTGCCTGAATGTGCTGACAATTACAAGAACATCGAGTCCAGTCTCATAGTAAATGTAGATTCACATTGCCTCATCAAGTTCAGTAGTCCAGTGTAGGCTGCTTGGAATGCAGTGGATGTACAGGCCTATTAAAAGATCAAATTCATAAAATTAAAAAACATTTAAAGTTTAATTTCATTCACTTTTCTGATGGTGGGTCCAGGTGTTTGTCTCTGTGGAGATGATATTGCTTGACCGTTTCACAGTGTGGCATTAAAATTATCTTGATTTTAAGGTTACAGGTATGGGTGTAACGATATCCAAGTCCCACGATATGATATTATAACGGTATGTACCTCACAGTACGATATTTATTGCGATGTCATGGGAAAGCTCACGATATGGTGAGGAGGCTCATGATTAGGGATGTAACAATATCCAAATCTCTCGGTACAATATTTTCAAGATATACAGCTCGTGATACAATATTTTTTGCAATATTTTTGGCCTTGACAAGATTTAAAAGTGCTCAGAACTGTCTTTTCTTCTTGTAGTCTACACTAAAATGTAGCAAAGGATCATGGTCTATGCAGTTCTCTTTGTCTTTTTATTTTAACTATTTCTGCACCATAACTCCTAATTTAAGCAAAGAGACTTGTAATTCGATATATTGTGATGATCCACGATATTATTGTGAGAACTCTGACGATACGATATGACAATATTTCAGTTATTGTTACATCCCTAGTTACAGGTATTGATTACAAAATATGTGTCACATGGTTGTCTCTATAGATGTTTAATGCCATACTGTGGAATATTAAGGCAAAGCAATACCATCTCCATGGGGATAGGCAAGTGGCAGATCCTCCACGAGAAAAGTTGGTTTGTAAAAGTTAGTGCACCTTTTATGCTTTCATGTGCAGTCCTATAGTTAACTTCTTTGTTGTTTAATTACACATGTATTCGCTCTTTTAAATGGGGTAGCTAATATAAATTGTGTGTTTTGCTGCAGGCTTTTGTCTACTGGTAGCCTTTTATTGAGGCTAGAACAATGATCCTTATCAATGAGTAAATAAGCTCCCTGTAGTCAAGATAGTTTAAGCCTTTTCACATGACCACCTCATTTGCATTAATCAAGCTTAACTAAATGTTGTCAGTGTTTTCTTTTTACATTGAAATGCAGTAGTCAGTTTGATGTTTTACCATTCGTTTTACAGGGGTTCTGCAATTGCCAAAATAGTAGGTGCCAATGCCGCCCAGAACCCAAACTTTGACAACACAGTGAAAATGTGGGTGTTTGAGGAGATGGTGGATGGACGAAAGCTGACTGAAATCATCAACACTGAGCATGTGAATGTGAAGTACCTGCCTGGACATAAGCTCCCAGAGAATGTGGTAAGGACTCATGTTGTCAAAGGTATTGCAAATCAGACACTAATCAATACTAAAACCAGTATCACAACTAGATACTAGATATTAAAATCACATTTTATTGTATGCAGACTTTTTAGTAATCCATAGATCCAGAATGATAAAAACTTGGACTGTTGCCATAGCTATTAACTATTTAAAATCAAAATATATCTTTTGAAAAACTTTTATGAAAAGGTACTCAAAATGTTGAGGAAGTCCATGAATAGCCCTGTCAGGAGTCTTTGGCGTGCTCATAGTTTGACGTTGCCACTTTCACTTCTGTTTTTATCTGTCTTTAATTAGGAATTTGTGGTTTTAATTTTGACACCCACACATTTTATAAGATGAGAAAAATCATGCAGTTCAAGGGTTTCAGGCTTTAGACCTTTTTTTGAACTGCTTGGGTGAGGGATGAGGCCAAATCTTATTCCACATGATCCTGCAAGACAGATGTTGCCATAAATCATGTAAATCATTAAAAAGGATTAGCCAAAAATTTAAAATCATCATCAAGATACAATTATAATATAATAATATAATATGAACAATATTGTTTAAATATGTGAAAAATTCTCTTGTGAGATTTTGTTTCTATGTGTTTATATAATTTGGCTCGAACAAGAAATAGTTAAGTCTTGGTCAGTTACATGTAATGAGAAAAAAAAGAGTTCTGCAAAGCCAGCAAAATGGATGTTAAAATATAATATAATATTACAATAATAATATTAAACGTATCTACATACTAGAAGATACTTGATGTTAAAAGTTTAAGAAGTTATAGCCTATTGTTTACAAATTTGACTCTTAATTTTGTATTTTATGTACCTGAATATTGATTAATTTATTACAGCTTTACTCTTTTGTAGCTTGCTGTCCCAGACCTGGTGGACGCCTCCAAAGATGCAGACATTTTGATTTTTGTCATTCCTCACCAGTTCATTGGAAAAGTCTGCGAGACAATGAAGGGCAAGATCAAGACTGAAGCTCTGGGGATTTCTCTAATCAAGGTTCAGTCATATCTCTCTTGAAATTTGAAGTTTATTTAATTGTAAGGACAAAACTTTAAATAATGTACAAATCTGTCTAGATAGTCCACAAAATGAAATACCTAAATTATACCTGAAGGAACAGTGTAAGAAGTATTAATGATTACATCATTTAATATTGTTAATATAAAAGTTAATCAGTTATTAGACTGTACACTCACAGTAACAAGGGAAGGGTAACCAAAAAGGTTTACTGAATAGCACCGTTATTCAAACTAAATATTACTGATTTAGGAGTAAAAACTATGCAGTCTGAATACTATCGTACTCCAAGAAGAAGATTAATTTCAAAAGGTAAAAGTAACCCCCTCATATCGTGTTATATAAGCAGGACTACACAGTAAGCCTTAGGCCCCGGTGCAGGTTGGACTTTGGCCCCAGACCGACCCCTGAGCTCTAATGTGATACTGCTGTTTGTTTGTGCAGGGAGTGGATGAGGGGCCTGATGGACTCAAACTGATTTCTGACGTGATTCAGGAGAAACTGGGCATTACCATGAGTGTCCTCATGGGGGCCAACATCGCCAATGAAGTCGCAGATGAGAAGTTCTGTGAGACCACTATTGGTTAGTAAATGGTGTTGTGTATATCACTAGATGGCTTTTATTTCTCTTTTGTTTTATTTAGCTATATTTATTTATTTTATCCCTATTCTGACAGTACAGCACTTTGACCAACTAAGGTTATTTGTGTTCATAAATTGATCAATAATATTTATGGGCTTAAAGGTGCTCTGTGCTTATGGATGGTCCGCCACCTTCTTGACTCTATGGTGATTAATTTATGGTGGTGGTGGTGGTATGATAATCTAGTACCATAATCTAGTACCATTACAGAAACAAGTAGGTAACGCCACCAGAGCAAGTTACATGTCAGGCCTGTGGAGAGACAAACCTGTCTTAGAATAAAAAAATAAAAAAAAACAATAAAAAAAACAGAGATTCAAAAACAAGAGATAGTATGATTCAGTAGAGAGTTGACCAGCTAAATCTTTTCAACATGTATCCATTGTAGCAAGTTTATTAGTTTAAATGGACTGACAGTGGTGCTTCAAGTTTATTGGGTTGCCCACTACATATGTTTGACAGGTCCTTGGGCAAGACACTTATTTTGCTTCACCCTGTAAAGGTAAAATAGGGCAGAGTGATATGGCAAAGAGCTGTTTTTTTTTTTTTACTTATTTTGATGATTTTTATTTTCTTTATGAGACATAGACAGTGCACAATATACATTAACCTCAACAGACGAGATGCACTGTGCCAGGTTGTAGCACTAGAGCTAATTTCCACCTGTAGTCGCTGGTGGATGTTAGATTAGATTTTTTAAAGCATAAATATGGCTTTCAGTCATAACATAAGACTCAGGTGTCATTAACAAATGTGTCAAATTCAAACTCAGGGCTGAACTCTGCTCCAAGCCACACACTTTTATTGACAGAGCACTGGCTGTAGACCTCAAGATCACAAAGACCTGAGCTGATCATTGACAAGCTGAAAGAACTGGATGTCAGTATGATTAAAATTCTATTCTAGTCATAAAGTAAAGTTAGATATACTTTCTGGTACACATACAGTTTATAGCTTTTAGAGTTGCGTAACCATAAAATGGTGACGCCCTTTTGTAGAGATAGGGCATTATAGGGGAGATAGCGGATGTAGGGGATTAAGCATGACCTCAAGCTTAATCAACAAACTGTCACTGTGAGAAGTGCTTTGAGGTTGTTATGAAGCAGTGGTTCAGAAAACAGGGGCCGTGAACTGGAGGTTGCAAGATGATATCAAGATATAATAAACAACTATAGCCTGTCCATTTTCTTCCACTTATCCGGGGCTGGGTCATGGGGTCAGCAGTCAAAGCTGAGATTCCCAGACTTCACTCACCCCAGACTTTCTCCAGCTCCTCCGGTAGGTCCACAGGGTGCTCTCAGGCCAGAGATATAATCCTGCTAGTGTGTCCTGGGCCTTCCCCAGGGTCTCCTTCCAGTGGGACTTGCCAAGAACACCATCCAGTGTCCAGGAGGCATCTGGAACAGATCCCTGAGCCACTTCAGCTGGCCGCTCTCCACGTGGGCACTATGGCAGTGTATTAGTATATTCATATTATTTTATAATGCAAAAGCAGCTTTTCATAACTTTCCCTCATCAAAAAAATGCTTGAAGTGGTTTTCTGAATGCATCTCTGCAGCGCTCTCTGCAGCGCTCTCTGCAGCGCTCTCTGCAGCGCTCTCTGCAGCGCTCCAGCCCACCCCTTACAGAACAGCGAGCAGCAGAGAGACAAGAGCATAGTGATATAAGTTATGTGCCACCAATTAATACCCCATACCAGTGTAATACCCCTCTTTAATTGAAAGGAGTATACTAGTGAAATTAGGTCCAATAACACAATAAGTATTCAAAATAAGAACTGTTAAACTTGATTGAACATGTTTTTTTTACATAAAGTCATTACTCCTTTCAATTTAATTTCGCAGTGGGGGTCCAGAGTCTGGCCTGTTTTGATATTAAAGATGTTAATGACTTAAACTTTTTTTTCAGGATGTAAGAATAAAAACCACGGGGTGCTGCTGAAGGAGCTCATGCAAACCAACAACTTCCGGGTTACAGTTGTTGAAGAATACGACGTGGTGGAAATCTGTGGAGCCTTGAAGGTACATTTCTTACTTAAAGTGTTGTGTTATGACAGTGTTTCCTCATCACTGGTTCACTTAAAGTTGTATTTCGATTCATGCATGTTTGAGTGTTCCTCTGAAAATTCCTGTTTTCACCTACCACCTCTCTCTGCCTACTGTTCTGTACTTACTTGCATTATTCAAGACATTCAGACATCGGGTCATACATGTTGGGCTAAAATATATCACGTGTACTGGAACACTGTTATAACATGATCTATAATACATAATATATCTTCATAAAGTCATTCCATCTATTCAGTTTTCATCGTGTTATATTTGCCACTTTTCTCTCCATCCTCAGAACATCGTAGCAGTCGGAGCTGGTTTCTGTGACGGTCTGGGCTTTGGTGATAACACAAAGGCAGCGGTGATTCGGTTGGGGCTGATGGAGATGATCGCGTTTGCCCGAATCTTCTGCACTGCAGGGCCCGTCTCCTCAGCAACATTCCTGGAGAGCTGCGGAGTGGCCGACCTCATCACCACGTGCTACGGAGGGCGCAACCGGAAAGTGGCAGAGGCATTTGTCAAGACAGGGAAGGTGAGGTTTTATATCATGTATCATTATATCATGCGCACTCCATCTGCATCTTTATTTCTATGTGCTATGGAGGTGTGGTGGCTTTAAAGTGGAACTGAACACTAGGTCCACTTTTTCTTTTTCATTATGTGTATGGTGTTTTAATAGCATTATCTACTTTTACCATGTCACTTTTTTGTACAAAGTAGTGGTCAAAAACATCTAAATCTAAGTGTGTGCTGCCTTCAGGGGCCTCAGCAATTTCCAGTAGTTGGTGACATCACATAAGACTGTCTTACAGCCAGATGTTTTGGATTACAAACACCAGACTGCAGGGGTGAAGTTTAAAGCGTGGATATCTGTTAGACCAATCACACTTCCTCGTATGTCCAGACTACGCCCCTCCTCGTCTCACTCTCACCTTAAGTCTTAAGTCTTTAGTCCAGTTACTGCCCAGTTTTAGCAGCTCTGTTTAAAATCCAGTTGTGAGCAGGGTTTAGGTTTGAAAACTCTTTATTTACCAATATAACTACTTTCACTACTTATACTACTACTTACAGCTAGTGTTATCACATATTACTGTGGTTAGGAACTGAATCAAAACTCATCTAACATTTGCCATGCATAGGTGGCATTTTATCTAAAACTATGATTGTGAAATCATAAAATATTAGAAATAACAGTAATGTCAGGATTTGACCTAAATCATAATGAACAAATGCTTTACAGATCTGAGAATTAATAATACTTAATTCATAAGTTCAGAGATAGGGTATTAATTAAGATATATCAAGGTGTGGTTATTAAGTAGGGTCAGGGTTCAAGTGGGGCCTATTCATTCAATCATTTAACCTTTATTTAACCAGGAAAGTCCCATTGAGACTCTTAATCTCATTGGGGACTGTACTTAGCCAGGCTGGCGCCACCTAGTGCCTCCACTCAATTTCATTTCTCTCCAGTGACTAGGTCAGGAATCGGAATACACTAGACGGTTCGCAAAAACCCCAGAAGTGCCAGTTAGGGGACCAGTCAATCAGCGAAGAACCATACATTCTGTGTTGTCAATGATTCCTGAAATCGAGGATTGAAAGTTGGAACAAAGAGAGGGATGAATTTTATCAAAGGGAAAGACATTATTGTCCTTCTTCCTACGGGATTTGGGAAAATCTTAATTTACCAGTTAGCCCCGTTAGCGGTGCATTACATACGTCACGACCAACAGTGTTGGGAGTAATGTATTATAAAAGTAATGTATTACAGTAATGCGTTGATTTTTGCTGTAACGCAGTAATGTAAGGCATTACAAGGGGAAAAATTGTAATATTTTACTCGGTACAAATGTGAGTAACGCGTGTTACAATGCTTTTTTAACCTGGATTGAAGTGGTGGTTTTTTCTTCATAGAAATTCGCTAAAATCACCGTGAAATCAGCAGCGGTGAAACGCCGGAGACGCGGCCGGATAGACCTTCAGTTAACCACGGGTGAAAGGACCGACCCAGAACTCTACGCTGTTTAGACCTGGTTTAGACCTGGGTCACTTCTGGTTTAGACCTGGCTTACAGTCGTCCCTCGCTCTAACGCGATTCACTTTTCGCGGTCTCGCTGTTTCGCTGATTTTTTGAATTTTTTTTTGTGCAATTTTGCATGCCTTTTGTTTTTAGTGTATGAACACGTATTGCGTTCCTCCCGCTGTGTCCTGATCGGCTAAGGGACTCCTGTCTACTGTACAATACAGTACAGAATATGTTCAGCTGCCAAATTTAAATAAATGTTCAATCTCTAGCAGTGTGCTTCTGAAGTGCTGTATGTCTGCAAGTTTTCTCTCCGACAAAATCCACAACGTCGACGAAATGTTCTGCACCGACAAAGTCTCCTGCGCTCACACCCAAAAGGCAGAGGACGATGCAAACCATCGCACAAAAAGTTGGACTTCTGGACACGTTGAAGGAAGGTAGAAGTTACGCGCTGTAGCAGAGTTTTGCACCAGGTCTTGTACCCGCAAATAGTTGCTGAAATCAGGACCGTGAGCCCACGCAGCAGGGTGTCTATAAAGAGCGATCGGGCGACAGCCGCTCTTACCTCCGTGAGGTGCGGAGCAGAGCCGCTCCTTTCTCCTGCGGTCACCTTCGAGCCCGTCCTGACAGTGAGTCCTGTTTTAGTCCTGGTTCAGTTCTGGTTTAGTCCTCCTCTTCAGTCCTGGAATCAGTCTGAGGTTAGTCCTGTTATAGTCCTGGTTTAGTCCTGGTTCAGCTCTGGTTTAGTTCTGGTTTAGACCTTGTTTAGTCCTGGTTCAGTCCATATACGGCTCAAAGGTTCAGCTTTTTCGCAGTTATTTTGGTGAGAGTAACTTTAAGTAATGCAATAGTAATGTAATGCCTTACATTTTAAATGCAGTAATATTGTAATGTAACGAATTACTTTGAAATGACAGTAATAAGTAATAAATAACACATTACAGTTTTAAAGTAGCTTGCCCAACAGTGACGACCAAACAGCAGCGATTGGTTAAATAAAAAAAAGTACCCGCCTACCATCAAGTGAACGAATTCTAACATTGCGAGGTCAGATGGTTTCTGCGAAGTGAAACTGGCTGATGAACAGGCTAGACTGTACTGGCTCTTTGCTAAAATGAGTTTTGTGTTTTAGACCATCGAAGAACTGGAGAAAGAAATGCTGAATGGACAGAAGCTGCAGGGACCAGCCACAGCCGCTGAAGTGTACCTCATCTTGAAGCACAAAAACCTCGTTGACAAGTAAGCAACTGAGCAGGAAGTGGCTAAACCTAAGATAACACAGCTAAAGACAATATCCTTTATTTGATTCCCAAACCTGAAAACAGACAACACCCTAATCATCTTAAGCATTATTATTTTGTTTGTATAGCGCTAGTTTGAGAGTTCATATTTATTTCATTAGTAAATTGATCACCGTAATCACTTAATTAAATAATACAAATAGTTAAAGGTTGTATAGAGGATTTTCCAAGGAACGAGAAATCCAGCAACTGTTTGTCCTTTTTCAAATGTTGCGCATGCGTGAAACCACCCCCCCTCCCCTACAGCTCCCTACGTAGAAACGCCTCCTCCCGCCTCCTCCTTACGCCAGAAACAGGTTTGTTTACAGCCAGTGCGCTGCACATGACTTGTAAACAACTAACTACAGTGTTGGCAAGGCGGAGAAGTGAGGAGCGGGGGGAGGGGGTGCGCGGACATTTCGTGCACGGAGAAGAGGTGAGGAGCAGGGAGAAGAGCGGAGCAGGGAGCGAGGAGAGGAGAGAGGAGCGGTGCGCGGAGATTCCGGGAGATTCCGTGCGCGGAGATTCCGTGCGCGGAGATTCTGTGAGGAGCAGGGGGAAGAGCGGAACGGGCAGCGGGGAGAGGAGCAGAGAGGGGTGCAGAGAAGGGTGCGCGGAGATTCCGTGCGAATGAACTAGCTACTACTACAACACGCAGCAGCAAGCGGACTCTTTCTTTGCCTTGAAAATGACGTTTTCAGACATAGGATATCGCATTCGTGTCCTGAAAAACGTTTGTCTAGCTCTTGGAAATAAAGTACGTTTTCATAATAAGCAGAAGTTACCTGTCCAGGAGTAATTTGGCGACCAGTGTGTCAGTCTTTAGACCCTTCGTCTTCTTCAGTCGCGTCATCGCTGGAATGAATCTCCAAGAATCACCTTAGTTTGGCTTCGCTGCTTTTCCCCTTGTCTTCTTCTTTCAGCGACCTCAAAAACGGACTTTCTTTTGTGGCTAACTGCTCCTGGATTCTTGTCTGCCATTGCAACAAACTTTGTGCTAACTGCGAGGAAGATACAGGTCAAAAAAGCCGCTAAGAACCGTTAAGTTGGTGGAGTAAACAGCGTCTGTGCGTCTGTGGACTGCGTGACAGGCGTACGTAAACCATGTAATGGCAGCGCGCAGGCAAGTCAGTTACGCTAGAAACGTAGGGAGTTTGATTGACAGCCTGTCAGCTAACAGATAACGAGGCAGTGTCGTTGTCTATTGGCAAATGTTTAGCCCCACCACGTCCAGAGTTGATGAATTTTTATTCTCTTTTTTTTGGTCATCATAATTACAAGGCTACTGCACCTCTATAATGCTATCATTGACAATTTGAAACAAAAAAAATCCTCCCTACAACCTTTAAGCATGCTGTTGAGAAGAGTAAAAATCCAACATAATCTATAAATGGACATAATAACGAGCAAATAAATCAGTAACAACTAGGTCATTTCTACTCTCATCCTTTGTAAAGTTTAGTCTTTTGTTAATTGATAGTTACAGAACAGCAAGTGCACTCATAACTGAAAAAAAAAAAATCTGATCATTATCTGATTTCTGGAGTTATCAGATTATTGAAATCTGAACAATTATCAGTTAACGTGTAATCTGATATTCTTTTGATTGTTCACACATCTGCAGGTCCTGACAAGGAAAAACTGCGGCAGAGACAAAAATTAAAGAGAGAAATAATTACGATTTAAAGAGTTATTTTAAAATCCATTATGCGTTGTCTTCCAAATACAACAGTTTAAACAATCTAAAACTCCACTGATTAACTGACATGTCACCAGGTATTTTTGCTGATCAGATTTAGACATGTAAACACACACAACAACAATCGAATGTAATTATTAGGTAATGTGATTATGCTGATTTTTCCTGGCTGTGTAAATGTACCCACTGACCCCCCTCCTTCTCTCACTGTCTCTCTCCAGGTTCCCTCTATTTAACGCGGTGTATAAGATCTGTTATCAGGGCCACCCAGTCACAGAGTTCATAAGCTGTTTGCAGAACCATCCGGAGCACATGTAAAGCCGACCACCACATGCCTCAAGAGGGAACAATGCAACTCTCCATCTCCCCACACTGGATGGGACATTTTCCATTCCACAAATCTGTTCTATTTCTTCCAGCAACTTCATGGTCAACCTCTGAAATACGCCTACATGTTCAGAAAGTCTTTTAAGAGCTCTTGTCAGTTATTTGTTTTACATTTCAAGTAGGTGCCTACCGTATTTTCCGGACTATAAGTCGCTCCGGAGTATAAGTCACACCGGCCAAAAAATGCGCAATGAAGAAGAAAAAAGATATATGTTGCACCAGACTATAAGTCGCACTTTTGGGGGAAATGTATTTTATAAAACCAGGAACCAACATTTCATCTTGAAAGGCAAGTTATAGTAAGAACAATAGAACAGAGAACAGGCTGAATAGGCATTATTATGTTAACGTAACGTATTAACAGTTATTCAGATAATTATAGCATAAACAGTATAACATAAGTTTACCAAACTCACAATCTCACTCCAAATCACTAAATCCATTGAATACTTCATCCTCAGTGTCACTTCTGCACAACCTCCAGAGATAAACCATCCATGATGTAAACAGAGCGCCGCTTCCTCTTCTGTGTAGCTGTCGTCAGACTCCGCATCAGTTACAGTTAGAATTTTTCCCGCCTTTCTGAATCCTGACAGGATGGTTTCGGTCGTCACTGAAGTCCAGGCTTTGTCAATTCATCCAGTGACTTCCAGGAAAGTTACATGGCGCACCTGTCCGGTTGCCGTGAAGCTGTGTTCTCCATCCCCGCTTTCCACCAGTCCCTCACAAGTTTCTCACTCACTCCAAACTTTCTTTCTGCTGCTCGATTACCATTTTCGGCTGCATATTTCACTATTTGCAGCAGGACAGCGGGCTTTTTCTACAGGAGGCATGCGCAGTAGAGTCAAGTGACAGTGGTACAGGAGTAATAGTAGTACAAGATACTGACACACAAGTCTAGAGTGCCCTCTCGCAGCTGTCAGTGTGAAAATTTTAATATATAAGTCACACCAGAATATAAGTCGCAGGACCACCCAAATCAAGAAATCAAGAAAAAAAGTGTGACTTATAGTCTGAAAAATATGGTATTTTGATTAAACCTGTCATGTTTTTAACTGAAATGCATGATCATAACTTCAAGGCAAAAATGAATTTCTACTCAAGTTAAAATGACTTGAATTTTAAGTTGTTTAGTTGGTGGGTCGAGATTGTGTTTGTACTTACTGACAATATTTTTTTTCTTATTTCTTACAAGTAGATTTAAAGGAACTGTATTGTAACCTGTGCTTTTACAGTTTAAAAAGAAAGATACTACAATTATAACTGAACCCAGGTTGCCAGTGCCTAAACTTGCATATAGAAAACACATAGACCTTCAAGTTTTTTCTCATTCTCAGTATATGGATAGGCCATACATCATTTGAACCTCCAGAATTCAATCGGAGGCTGCTGGTGCTGGGGTTTAATGACGATCTTTGTCTACACTATTCAATACAACTTAATATTTTGAATTCAAGTATTTTAACTCAGGTAGATCTTAATTATATGCAGTGGAAATGGGTGAAACACGTAATTGTAAAACCACGCCTTAGTAACAAAATGTATGCATTCAAGATAAGGGCCATTTTAATGTCACATGTCATTGTCCAGTGAATGCATGGAAGCTAATAGCCATTTTAAAATAATACAGTAGTAAATACCTCATTTCATGTTGATCTTAAGTCTTATGAACTTCACTGTGAATCTTTACTGTTATTGTACTGTATTACTGTATGTTGACTAAACGCACAGCAAATGAAGAAGCAAGTGCCTTTCTTGTGCATGGTTGTTGGGTCACAGCCATAATTTCTCTCAAAGATGTGGCAACCAGAACACCGTCCACTTGACCATCTGCTCAAACTCACCCATGTTTTGGTTCATCTCATTGTATCTTTGTAATTTGTCAATATGTGAATAAATTAATCCAGGTATCTAAACATCACTGTAGATCTCTGTTTATGCCTACTTCCCCTAAAGGTGCAATGTTTAACTTTTCTGGTGGGATATCTGCGACGCGCTTGCCTCCACTAAGATGCTATTACTTTGACTGAAATGTTCGGCAGTATGGCATTAAACTTATCCTACTTGCATTTTCATTCAATTTTAATTACAACTTTTTAATTGCTGAACAACTTTGAAAAAGCATTCTTACTCTCCATAAATCTGGAACGTGGCATCACTTGCATGTTTCCATGGAGATAGACAAGTTTAATGACATATTGCGTACCTTAGACTCAAAAGAACTATTATTTAGATGGTAGAGGTAGATGAAGGCCTTCTCAGAATTCTGCCTTGTCATTGTTAATAGGCAATTTTTCTCCCATAATCAACATGAATCTAAATATTGGCACAATGTTCAGTCTTCTGAAATGTAAGCTTAACTGTAGTTATTAGAGGGAGCCTCCAGCTACATCATTATGTATAATATGAAGGCCTATTCTTTCTGTTTTGCATTTATTAAATTACAGATGTTAAATACTGTACATATCTCATAAAATATGAATTCTGAGCAGGTACTGATCTCCACTGAGATGGACACGTGTAATGCTATACTGTCAAACACTGCAGGAAAAGCAATAGCTTTTCCATGGAGATAAGCAACTGGAGTGAATCTTTCACCAGAAAAGTGCCCTAGTGTACCTTTAAGCCTTAGGTTTTGTCCCATTGTTTGGTGGCAGCAGAGCTTTGCTTTTATACACACTAATTCTAAATTGTATTGTCTTTCATGAATTCCCTTTTTCCAGATACATTCAGAAAACACACAAAGGTAGAGCTTTGTTTATTACAAGTTGTGGAAATGTTTTTCATGTAAGACATTATGATAACAGCATTCAGAACGTCATTACAAACGGTTGTCGCTGTATAAATGGAATAAAAGTGGTCTAGATTTGAACAAATGTAAACATACAATGGAATGGATACTGAGACCATAATATAGAAAGCTACTCTCATATTTAAGACTACAGTAGTTTGAAAGCTTAAAAGAAACTAGCTGCCCCACCCCTTAAAACCACACACCTTATTCCACCTTATTAATGCTTAAAGGCAATGTAAGCTTGGTCCAATCATAAGAAACAAAGCTAAAATATGATATGTATTGTGCAGTAATTAATGCAGCTAAAGCACAGTGCTATCACAGAAATTGTTCAATTTTGTTCAGTAAATCTAAAGGGATAAGCGGACCAATTTGTGAAAACAATGTTGGCTTTCTGCACTGTATACTTTGCAGCTGATATCATCAACATTCCCTGAGGGTGTGAAGCTAACTGAAAGCACTACTCTGTCTGAAGTTCTGTTACTCAAGTTGAAATAAAGATCAGATTAAGTCTAACACAATCTGACCTGAAAGAACTGACTAGGTTGGAACTGCAACAGCTGAGATGTTTTGTGCGCTTACAAAAAAAATCTCTCACACATTAAATTATAGTCATAAACTAGAAATAGTCAACAGTTTTTCAGTTAGTCACACTCACTCTTTTGGTTGAAAATCAATTTTGTATTTTTTCTTCAGTTTTCAAACTATCAGAAGTTTTTTGTCTGGTTGCTAATGTGTGCATTGTGTCACCACAGTAACTGCTGAACATTCCGCCAAAAGAAATACACGTAGAACACCCCCAGTGCGATGTCACTGCAAAGTATCAATAGCATTACAAATAGATTACGTTCACAACATTCTAGAATACCACTATTTAAAACGAAGTTGGAGGACAGGTCAAATCTCTGTGGTAGAGTTTGCCTTTTAACTGTCTAAATACAATATACAAATGTATTGTCCTGATTTATTGGTTGACTTACTTGGCCTTTTCACACGAAACTAAAACAGGCACAAAGATAAATGTCTTTGTATATATAAACCAGTATAAATAAAACAAACTGAAATTGTTATTTTTTCACTACAGCTTCAGAAGTGATGCCATTATGCTACACTTTGCTGTTGTTTGTTTGACTGTTGTCAGTTAAAAGAACTTTAAGACAAAAGAGTAATATGGCATATGACATTTGTGGATCGTAAATATGTATTTTTCTTAAAAAAACAGTGAATCTCCCATAGAGTTATACAGGTCTCTGTCCTCCATCAAATTCTAGAAAGCGAACACAATCTATTACCAACAACTAAAACACGGGACTGTTCAAATGTTTGTAAAATTGAGGTTTTGAACTATAATGAGAAAGGGATTATTTTATTTTACATACAGTCATTTAAATAAATCAGTAATTACTCAAAATGATGCCAATTATTACTTTTGTGTGACTTCGATACGTATGTTTGTAAATAACTGAACGTTTAGGACCAATTTGTGTATGACAAATGCAAATTATGAGCTTTTTTGCCTCTTGTGTAAAGTCACTTATGTCCTTATAGATTTCCAGTCCCCTATATTGTATGTGGTTACCATCTTTGGTACAAAATTTGTCCATGTTTGTTCCTAAAACATTGTACTTTTTGATCCTTCTCATTTTGGTCTATCTGAATGAATGTTCTTGTAAAGCTCGGTGGAAGTGGTATAAAAATAACAAAAGTAAATCTTATACTGACATTTGATATCACAAATGTTTGAGTATTAACTATCCCAAAAATAATGAAATACTTTGAAATACTCCTAAATCCTAAACAGAAATTTCAGTTCTGTTCTGTGATGGGGCAGTTGAAACGCCTCAAAAAGACACTTCAGTAAAGGGACATGGTACAGCAGATAAAACCACTGCTCATGTCCTACAATGCTAATTCTACTCCTGTCTCTTCACTACAGCTTGTGTGGGTTCACCCATTTGTAAGTGCCTTCATAACGAAAACCAACTCTTTTTGACAGCTCGTCTGCTTCTGCTGGTCCTCGGCTGCAGAAACAAAGGGGGGAGGAATCAATCAATTTGTGCATTTTACTTACAAATTCAGTTAAAGCATCTACAACATGTCTGTATTGGAGCAAGACAAATGCTCAAATGCATGGGGGAAAAAAATCAGATACAGGTCTTTTAATATTGCAATAGGTGTTCTGTACCTTCCATATTTGTAGGGAATAGGTTTGGGCTTCTCTTTTTCAACATGATGGAGAAGAGGTGTGAAAATCCTCCATGCTTCCCTTAATTCATCACTAAAGAGCAACAAAGACATCGTGTTAGTGCCATCTAGTGGGAGAAACTAGTCTAGTATAGTATTTTTCACTAATACTTTTAAGCAAAGGTAGGTAGGATATGCAAAAATTGGCTTTAAAAGTACTATGAATAAACAGCATATTACCCAAATAAAAGTTATTCACAATAAAATATAGAAACATTACTTGTCCTCAGGCTTTAGCCACAATAAAACAAATAAAAAATCTGTGACAGACCTTCTCACAAAGTGCATCTGACTTCCACAGAAAACATCAAGAATGAGGCGTTCATAAGCATCTGGAAGTTTCACATCCTAAAAAGTAAAACAAGAAAGAGTTAGTCTTGGATAATACAGAGCCACAGACTCTTAAAAATAATCCCAAAATGAGCAAAAAATTGAAAAAAAATTAATACTAGGAGTATCACTTTGCGATACTAATAGGCCCTTCGCCAGCCTCTGGTGCTCGGGCCTAAAAAGTGGCCAAAACGGGACCTTGAAATAGGATCTGTCATTCTACATTTTTTTACTTTAATATATTTAATCTTCCTGACCCAGAATGAAGATAGTAATATGATATGTTCTAACTAATGACACAGTCAATTACCATACAGAATAACTTTTTAGTTGTAATATGGAAACAGATCTTTAATACAGTGCTGTAGTGAACTAAATATGTTCTGGATGGACTTCACCGAGGTAAAAAAAATCAGCAGGTCAATTAAAATTCCATTTGACAGATTAAAACTAAATACCTCTATGTCGTCAGCTGACATCAATTCGATCCAAAATGCAGGTACAATTTATGTACAAGGAACATATTTTTCAAACTTTCATTTAACAAAATAAAGATGTTGTAATTAATTTTTATGTGTCATATAAGAACTACTGTGTAATCTAGACATTAACGTTAACATTATGGTTGCTATAGAAAATACTTCTACATATGTCTTATCTGCTGTGAGCCCAATCAGGAAGTAACATTTTTAACATGATGAAAATAGAAAAATCTTAAATATAATGATGTGAACCATGTTTTAGAGAAATTAGTAGTCTAACCTGTCATATGTACTTTAAAGCCAACTGCCCTACTGTAATATGCATTTATTCTTTGCCATACTATTTCCATCTATTACTTGAGTATTCTTTGCATTAGGTCACATGTTCCAATCTTTCTTCACCTTGTATCTGCTCTTGTACGTCAGGTCAAGCTCAGTCTCCTCGGGGTGGAAGTAAACCCCGGGTTTCTTGCTCATCATTTTGGCATAGACAGCCTCGTTGGGCTGCACACGGACCACCAGCTCGTTTCTGTGGCACTGATTATCAAAAATATCCCCAGGAACATCAGTGAACTGCAGCCGGACCTCCGCTTTCCTCTCATTCAAAGCCTTCCCACAGCGCAGGATGAACGGGACCCCTGGTATACACAATACAGGATCAGAGGTGTAGGAAATAAGGCACATAAACATTATCACAGTTCTTACATTAATGCTAATAAATCTCATTATTGCGCACTTAGTAGCTGCATATGTTTTGTTTTAGCCTATTTAAACTCTTTGGCTGAAGATTGGCAAGCTTTTACCCATGTTAGAATGTAGTTGCCTCATCAGAAATATACCTGGAGTTGTGTTTTGTTTCATTCACACATATTTCAGTAACCCTTTATTATTAGTTAATTTACATCTCCAAGGTTCAGAATGCACTGTTCCATCTTACAGTCTCATGAAACAGTGGTTTTCAAACTAATAGCTACCTTTTAATCATTTGTTCAGTAGATTGGTAATTCCAGGGCAGAAATTACCCAAATGATTCTAAGGAAGATGCATGGAGTTAAAAAATAATACAGCAGAGCACTTCCTGTATTACCACAAGGCATTGTTTTCTGTTTAAGAGAAGAACTCAGCCTAAATATGTAGGATTTGTGTCTTAAATGTGTGAATGGAATAAAATACAACTCCAGGTATATTTTTGGATGAGGAAATAACATTATAACACATTAGAGTATAAACTGTAATATGGGACCTATAGAAATATTGTGATTCAGCAGTTTAAAGGGGGCATAATAGCTGTTATTGTAGATTTTAGTTCCAGACACATTTTTATGAGTAACTGTAAATGTTTTATAACTCTTAATAATTTCCATGTAAGGCTGTTTGATCATATAAAAAAATGGGTCATTGAAATCACACTTATTACTTATTAACTGTCAGAATGAGTTTCCTGATAATCTTTGAAACTGATTGGACTAATAAAGCAACTGTTATTAAAATGGATTTATTTCTCAGCCCTATGTATATAGATGATTTCTCATAACCTTCTGTTAGTGAAAGTAGCATGTTCAAACTTTAAAAAATGCTAGAATGCTAAAATACTGAACAACACGTCATATATTTAAAGGGCACATGTTAACACTGCTGGGCAAGTTACTTTAAAACTGTAATGCGTTATTTATTACTTATTATTGTCATTTCAAAGTAATTCGTTACATTACAAAATCACTGCATTTAAAATGTAAGGCATTACATTACTACTGCATTACTTTAAGTTACTCTCACCAAAATAACTGCAAAGATGCTGAACTTTTGCGTCATAAATGAACTGAACCAGGACTGCACCAGGACTAAATCAGAGCTGAACCAGGACTGAACCAGGACTATAACAGGATTAACCTCGGACTGATTCTAGGACTTAAGAGGAGGACTAAACCAGGATTGAACTAGGACTAAAACAGGACTAAACCAGAACTAAACCAAAACTAAACAGGACTCACTGTCGGGACGGGCTCGAAGGTGACCGCAGGAGAACGGACCAGCTCTGCTCTGCACCTCACGGAGGTAAGAGCGGCTGTCGCCCGATCGCGCTTTATGGACACCATGCTCCGCGGGCTCGCATTCCTGATTTCAGCAACTATGTGCGGGTACCCGACCCAGTGCAGGACTGCTACAGCGCATAACTTCTACCTTCTTCAGCGTGTCCAGAAGTTCAACTTTTTGTGCGATGGTTTTCCTCTGTCTTTTGGGTGCGACCGCAGGAGCCTTTGTCAGTGCAGAACGTTTCGTCAACGTTGTGGGCTTTGCCGGGGAGAAAACTTGCAAATATATAGCACTTCAGAATCACACTGCTAGAGACTGAAATTTTTTTAAAATTTGGCAGCTGAACACATTCTGTACTGTACTGTACAGGAGACAGTAGTCCCTTAGCCAGTCAGGATGCAGCGGTAGGAAAGCAATACGCATTCATACACTGTAAAAACGAAAGGCATGCAATATAGCACTAAAGAAAATCTGGGAAACAGCGAGACCACGAAAAGTGAACCGCAACAGAGCAAGGGACGATTGTAAACCAGGTCTAAACCAGAACTGACCCAGGTCTAAACAGCGTAGAGTTCGGTGTTGGTCCTTTCGCCCGCGGTTACCTGAAGATGTACGCGGCCGCGTCTCATCCCTGCTGATATCGCGGTTATGTTAGCAAATTTGTATGAAGAAAAACCCACCACTTCAATCCAGGTTAAAAAAAGCATTGTAACACACGTTACTCACATTTGTACCAAGTAAAATATTACTATTTTTTCCCCTGTAATGCCTTACATTACTGCGTTACAGCAAAAAGCAATGCATTACTGTAATTCATTACTTTTATAACGCATTACTCCCAACACTGCATATTACACTATTTTCTGATCTATGTTATAATATTGTTTCTTCATCATTATCATACTCAGAGTTGTGTTTTATTTCATTCACACATGTTCTACCGTGTGATGTCATGTGGTAATACAGAAAGTGCTCTACTGTGTTTTTAAACATCATACACCTTCATTACAATAATTTGGATGATTTCAGATCTGGAATTGCCATTCTCTACTTAAAAAAAGGTAAAGGCAGCTATTAACTTGAACTACTGCTTAATAACATCACAAGGTGGAACAGAGCATTCAGAGCTTTGGAAATGTAGACTGACTAATAGTAAAGGGTTACTCAAAAATGTGATGAAACAAAACATAACTCTAGGCATGTTTCTGATGAGGTACTATTATTCTAACTTGGCTTAACACTCACAAGAGTGAATTTTGCATAATATTGGGCATTTAAAATCACAAAAAAGGAAATTTAGCAATAGCATCTTATCTCCTTTTTTGTTAAACTTTGAAATGAATGTAGTGAGCATTTACCATCCCAGCGCTCATTATGCACATAGAGTACAGCTGTAGCAAAAGTGGCCTGAGTGGATCCTTTGGGAACAGTGGGGTCGTCAAGGTAACCGAGTTTAGCGTCTCCCTCTCCCTCCGGGTCGCCCACGTACTGACCCAGCACCACGTCTGACATGCTCAATGGGGCTATGGACTTCAGCACTTTCACCTGCAACATAGGAAGGGTAAGAAATAAAGGCTGGACTTAAATCTGAGAGAACACCAAAATAATTACTGCTAAACGAACATAACCATCCCATGCATTTCAGAGCAGATCTGTAGAAGTCCAAATGACAGGTCAGCCTATACAGTAAGGTAAATAGGATAAGACCCAATGGAGATAACAATTCTTTACTGGGAATGGGACAAGACCTCGTGCAATTATAATTATAGTTAGAAACTGAACACAGCAAAACACAAAAAATACACAGACTCATACAGTAAGAATATTAATTCAGAACAGACCTTCTCGTCCCTAACATCATCAGAGCTGGTGGAGGCAGGCTTCTCCATTGCAACCAGACAGAGCATCTGGAGTAAATGGTTCTGCATCACATCCCTGAGCACCACAAAAGAGCAGGTGTTTAAACAAAAACAGAGCCTGGACTCAACTGAATGGAACTGGTTATGACTGGTGAAACACATATTGATGTAATTTTGTAAATTCATATTACGTTTCCGTAATCTGGAAATTACCACACCAACTTCACCGTTTTCTACAGAACTATGGTGGCAAAGATATGATGATGATGAATTTGAACAACTCTTGACTCCAGCTGTGAAATGTGTTAAATTAATTCATTTTGTTTTAATGTGAATTATTATTTGGGTTTTGATTATTTTATTTTAACAACAAGACAAGAAGCAATGAGTATAGTTTTTGATGCCAATTTATTTTTAGAAAATGGATGGACAAACCCTTTTATTAATAACAAAAGAAATTGAATTAAATGCTTCACTCTCACCTAATGATGCCAAAATCATCAAAGTACCCTCCACGGCCTTGTGTACCAAAGGGCTCTTTAAAGGTGAGGACCACACAAGCGATACTGTCCCGGTTCCAGATGGGGCCGAAGATACGATTACCAAACCTGCAAACAGAGGCAATGTTTGCATGACCACCAAAAATAGACTCATGATCTGATTTCTGGAGTTATGTCAACAGGTACAACTCATGTGAGTAAGCGGATTGTTCATATCTGCAGGTTTGGACAGGAATAATCATGCAAAATGGGTAAATGTGACAAAGATAAAAAATGAAAGAAGAATGTTCGTGTTACCTCATCATAAACATAACCAGAGTTGTGTTTTGTTTCATAGTTAAAAGCTACCTTTTATCTTTTTTTCTATAGAGAATAATTCCAGGGCTGAAATTATCCAAATGATTCTGGTGACAGTGTATGGAGTTTAAAAACAAACTGGAGCACTTGCTGTATTACCATATGACATTACAAGGTGAAACAGAGTGTAATCCAAAAATAGTGTAATACGGGCCCTTTAACACTGAAAGAGTTAGAGTTCATTGTACTTTGACTTCCAAATTCAACAGTTATTCTGAAAAGATCCAACTGATTAATTGACAAATGAGAACACTACGTTATTAGGTTATCTGATTATTCTAGTTATTCTAGTTTCATGTAAATGTCCCCAGAGTCACATGATCAGAGCTCAGCCTTCGAGCAACAGCTGTGTGTGTCAGCAGCACAAATGGTATTTCAGTTTTTTTGTTTAAGGAAAAAGCAAGGTGTAACTAAGAAAACAAAACAGGTGAGATGCTGTGGTGCGTTGTCAGAGGACGGTCAAAAAAATTCATTAGGTAAAATAAAGAGTGCTTACTTCTGTATACTTCTGTCATACCTCATTTAACAATGACATTTATGACACTATAACCCGATTATACTTTTCTGTGCTTTGGAAATGTACATTAGTTTATTTTTAAAAGGTGTATAATGTAACTTTTCTAATTAGTAGTCCATCACCCTCTTGTGCATGGTGACAATATTATTATTTGGAATGTTTAAACCATCCATGATCCATATACGGGTGTTTTGATTGCTATATAAAATTCATTGCAAATATGCAGTCTTATTGTAAGCAAGGCTGTCTCTCCACAGATGTGACATGTAACTCATTCCTGTTGCATCACCTGCTTGTCTCCAAAGAGATTGATAAATGTAATGCCACACTGAACAACATTCCAGGCAAAACAATAACATCTACAAAAACACAGGCAGGCAATGGAGCCTCCAACACAAGTGACATAGTGCATCTTTAAATAGGCCTACTTTGTTCTCATTTTTTAAACCAAAAATAAAACAATAACATTTTGTAATTCAATTACCTTTGCTATAAAACTCTCATACAGATGAATCTTTAACCCTACTAAACGAAGCAGAGTCCAATGGGGTTCATGGGGTTTATGTTATTATGTTCTATTAGGAAACTGTCAGGTATGAAAACAAACCCTTGGTCTGAAAAAAGAACCTAGTAACATGAAACAGAGTCTCTCACCTAAGCACCATGAGGTTTTGCACCATTTCTTTGCCTAGATAGTGGTCTATGCGATAGATTTGCTCCTCTGTGAACAGGGACGATAGGTGAGTGGACAGCTCCTCTGAACTCTGCAGGTCACGTCCAAACGGCTTCTCTACGATGATCCTGTTCCAGCCTCTGAGCACACACAAATATGGAATTATGAACATATCATTTTTAATGGAGAAAGGGTAAAAATTCAAGCACTATTGTTAAAAGCTGCTGAATATACCATAATTCTTTACTAATATCATACACCCATCCATGGTGACAAGGCCTACTTACTTATAGAGATCATCAGGTTCAATATGTGGATTTTCATTTTGGATATTCCTTGTCAAAGTTCCTCATATTCAACGAGGGGCATGAAACAGGAAAGCCACCAATTCAAACTACAGACAATTACATAATATATTTGAATTTCCAGTCAGCCACCAAATTAGCTGCTGCCATATTATTATTGTTAGGTACTTTGCTTAATGGCACTGTGCCCAATTTTTACTGTCTTAAAAAGGTGAAAAACAGAACTAGTTTATCTTAAACTGTTTGCAGTGGCCAGAGTTCTTCCTCATTTGCTTAAACTAGTCCAAGCATCCTAATTATTCACTATGGTGTTTATTAGTGCTATTCACAAGTTTCAGAGGCCAGAACATATTTTTGATGTCACAGTAATGATAACATTAACCAGATTGCTAACATAAAACCAGCATTACTTTCTGGTTCACAGAATATATAAAAACTATTTATAATTAAATGCAGACACTAAGAGAAGATTTTTACAATATATCTGTACTGGGCCAAGAAACAATTTACTTTATTACATGAAAAAATAAGTTACAGCCCCTTTAATGTCTGACATACACTGCTGTAAATACTTACTTGGTGCTCATACACTGGTGCTTGATGTTCCTGGAGACATCATGGTACACAGAGGGGGGCAGAGCCAAGTAGAACAAACGATTAGCCTCAGCTCCTCCGGGCAGAGACAGGAGGTGTGTGTTCAGAGTGGAGAAGGAACTTTCATCATCGTATTTCCCACTAATGTAAGTGTTCCTTTTAAAAAACGTGTCTAACCTCTCTGCCTCAGAGTCTGTAGCCTAAGAAAGCACAGGGACGCATTTGCAAGCAGTGAATATTTCATACAAAAGTTATACGATATTAATGAAAATTAATATCTAAATGATTCTATTGAATTATCTTGATGGTGCAAGTCAAAGAATATCATGGCAATCTATCAAATATGTGTTAAAACATGCCTGGAGATAGTTACATGGTAAGAAGTGGGCAGATTATAGCAAATACTGATAATAATATTTGGATGTTTGTTTGAAGATATGCTCAACATTAACATTTTACAGTTAAACTTACGAATAAAAAAAATGCTGCAAAAGACCTAATAAAAAATAAATAAATAAATAATTTTAAAAATAACAAAAAGAAATATACAGTAAAATTACCTCACTTTATCAACCACTAAATCAATTTTTGTAAGACACAACTTTAATTTTGAGCATCTATTTTTGCAGCCTTATTGACTGTTTTTTCACAACTTTATTTACATTTTATATTATTTACAAAAAAAAGGCAATACAATCAATTTGTTCATATATCTCACACCTCTATTTAACAGAACTTTTCAATTAAAAACGAAAAAAATGTGTTAACTCTTACCTTCAGATAGGGCATAGAGGCTGTTCTGATGGCATCAATTGTCAACTGAGAGCGAGCAAAACCTACAAAGTATGTCTGCTCTGGCAGTAGACCATCTCTGAAGAGCCACCTAAAAGCAAGTTTGAAAAGAGAATACATTTATTATGAAGCTCAAATAGAAAGTCAGTTAAATTTTTCAGGTATCAAGACTCTCACCAGAGCGTTGGGTAAATTTTCTTCTTCGCCAAATCTCCCTGAAGTGCAAACACAGAGTTACAAGGCAGTTTTTGAAATACAATGTGTCACAAAATCAAATCAAATAGAATAAATAATGTAACTGAAATCTGAGTGTTTGCCAAGAGCAATGAAAGAATCATATCTCAAAACACACAAATACTAGTCTAGTCCCAGAGGTCATTGCCACCTGCTGTGAAGCAAAACAAAGGTGGCAGTGACAGATAAGACAAAAACTTGTGAACAGCGTTTCTATAAAGTTTTCTGTCAAAAGATAAAACTGGTAAACTAATATCAAAAAACTAAATACTATTTTCCACAGGTACTGATATTGAAAAACAAATTAGTATATAATAAATATATTTTAGAAAGTATTCTAATGGGGATCACCACTCCACAGATTTGATTTGTAACTTGGTCGGGTGGCATCACGTGCTTGTTTCCATGAAAATAAAATTTCACATGTGGAACGTTCCAGAAAAAGCAATATCTCACCAGACACCAGAAAAGTTTAATATTGCACCTTTAAAGAAACTACTGTCACTATTCTCTTGTCTAAAATAAAAATTATATATTTCTTTATCACTCTATCAAAATCCATATCAAGCCCGCTTCTTAGTATCATTATCAAGTTTGAAATCATGACAGCTCTACTAAAGACAGCCTATACTCTGCTCTATAAATTCCCATACATTACAGTGCAAGGTGTCATGAAACGTATCTTTTCCAATACTAATGGAATTCCTCATGCACTTTCATCACTGTGTATAATGCAATGTGTTTTAAAAGGCATTAACTTCTGACTGTGCCACAAGGTAAACCACAAAACCCAAATCTAACACTCAGTGTGAGTCATTCACTGCTCAAAGCAAAGCCTCCACTGAAAAGAAAGTGCTGATTGTCAGTGACACTGCAGAATTCTCAACAACAAGCACCGCCTGATCAACACAAGCTAAACGAGACTGCAATAACATTTGCAATAGATAACAGTCCTTTGTTTATGTAACTTTTTTCTAGCTTCCTTAATCATGATTTGTAACCTAAACCATGATTAAGAAAGACAGGCCTTATTTTGTGATTGGAGCAAACAGAGCAGAAGAGGAAGTAAAACCAGTTAGACCATTTCCTACTCACATAACGTGCAATTCTGTGTTTTCCCATAGGATACTACAACATTAGAAAATAATTAGAGTTTGGGACAATTTGACAATACTAGCCAATTTTATCTCTGTATTAATTCTATGGTATGATAATAGTTATATTGAGGCTACTATGGTATTGTTAAATAAATGAGAGGTGAACAATACTTTTGGGCTCAATATGTATCATGTGAATCTGTTACATGCAATATTTATAGCAGCAACTAATGCTGTGGAGGTTTAAATAACTACTTCAACTTCAACTAAACTAAATAAATTGTAACAGTTTATGTGTTAGAGCTGTTTATTTTCAATGGATTCATTTTTATAAAAATTTATTTTTAACAGATTTTAAAAAGGTTAATGTAAAACGCTTTTTTTCCCATGTTGACTGAGAGAATCATTTTTATTTAGTGCTGGGCCAAAACATTCATTCATCATTATCCCTGATTAATAACAAGCTGTGTACACTCACAGAGGCTCCCATGATGATGAAGATGTGCACATCAGACTGGTGGAATTCCTTGTCATCGTGGAGCTCTTTCCTTAGCTCCCCAAACACCTCCGAGCGGGAAAGAGGGAGGCTACCACTCATCGTCTCTGTCGGTCTGTTTGGGGATTCTGGACAAAAAAAATGTATTCAATAATATCTTTAAGTGCCCAAATCCGCTTGTTATAATAAATATGATGATGAGTGTTGGTCTGCCACTCATCTCCATGAAGATGTTATTACTTTGGCTTGGATGTTTCACAGTATGGCAATACATTTATCCTGCATTCATTTAAATGCATTTTTAATGCCACTCCGCATATCTACCTTCAGCTTGGTGTTTCTATAGAGACAGACTAATTTAATGCCATACTGTGGAACATCCATGCAAGTCATAGCATATTCACACAGAACAAAGCAGGCTTATCAAGGAAATGGAAATGAGCTAAATACCTTCTGAAATTTCTTGTGTGGTTTTAATTTGTCCTAAACCCAAACAGGAAGTATCCAGCACTTTTAAATGTTTACAGTTCCGATAAGTGATGCTGTCATGAAAATATGTCCAATAATAGTCGTATAGCCTAGAAATACTTGAGTAACTCGCTTGTGCAAGTCCTCCCACTACTACAGTCCAGCCACCACTGGAGCCAGAAATAGTCAGCCTCAAGAAACGATAATGACATTAGTCCAATCCCGTATTTAGTTGGCTAACTCTAAGCCACACAAGAATAAAGCTAGAGGCAACTAAGATAGCTGCATCCTTACACCCAAACATCAACATAACACAATGATACTGCTGTAGAAAACTGTGGAAAATAAACTCTGCCAGCTGTAATTTTAGCAATAATATATATATATATATACAAATGCCCACGATTTTGCTGACAGTAAATAAGGATTAAATACGACATAGGATTACAATATTAGCCCAGCATGCAGTCAGTTTCACAACATGACAGAAACTTGAAAGTGTCAGCTAATCCCGTGGCGATAGCATCCAACTAGCCACATGCTAAAATAAAAACAATTCACGCTACTCACGTATTTAGCAAAACGAAGAAAAACTGGAATGTAAGGCAAATTTTTACACGACCGGGGGAGAATTAGTCCAAGCTAGTGATGCCATGGGTGTATAAATGTGCTGTGTCGAGCAGGGTGCAGCCTACTTCCCTGTTGTAGGTAGATTTGAGAGTTTTTATTGGTTTGTAGAAACTCACCAGCGCTCGCTCGACTTCCCATCACTGTCGACCAAGTGACGCAACTACGCAAACCGACTCGAGGGCGCGACGTCTCTGCAAACTGGACCGCCCTCTCGGGTTAATTTAATAATGAGATAAAAAGAAGAGAAAACAGGCTACAGAAACGGGAATAAAAATATTTCACACCAAATCATTTTTTATGTTTTTAATGCTGGTTTTATTTCTCCGAGGTTATATTTTCATGCTATCTAATGGTTTCAGAATGATGAAAATTTGGGCCGTCCTTTGAGTGTGAAAAGTCCCCAAAATATTGCCTAAAGTTGGAAGTGGAAACCCAGCTATAGATTTATTTATAAAGAGAAGACATGTTCCACTTAATATAGCAAAATACTTTATTGTGTAGCCAAGGAGCACTATGTAGCAGCCTGTGGCTAACCTGGTGAAGGGTCCACTGAAATGTTCCACAGTATTGTATTTAGCTCATCTCATCCATTGGAGACAAGCAAGTGATGGCCAGGCCAAGTTCAGATCTGTGGAAAAGTGATGTGTTTCAAGGTATTCTCTCAGAAATAATAGGTTATGCAAGATGAATCAGCTTACTGCCTTATTGTGGGACATTGTGTGGAAAGTAATAACATTTCCATATAGACAGGTGGCAGATCCTCCACCAGAAAATGTACATTGCTCACGCTTTTTAACATTATAAGCCAAAAAGCTCATAAAGTGAATTTGATTGAGTAATCATGTTGAAAAGGAGGCTGTTTGCGATCTGCATTAACCTGTTTTTCATATAAAAATACTATTGTTAAATTTTAAATCCCATATATTTCTCACTTTAACCACACCTATGCCTATTTGTTTGCTCTGTCAAGGAGTGGAGAGTTAACATTGATTAGTTTAAGCACTGTCTGTAATTCAGGCATTAACTTTATAAATATGAAGCACAGATCAATGTCGTAAAATATTTTAACTTTCTATTTTTTGTCCCTGTATATTTTTGCACTTTATCTCCTTAACGTGCACCTCTTAGTGGGCCATTATTTACTGTTGTACATGATCTTTTGCTTTTTAGATTTCTGTTGCTTTAATTCTTATTTAATTTTATTTAATTACCATTTTTCTTCTCTTTTCTCTTTGTTATTGTATTGCAATATAAATACTACTAAGTCTAATCCTAAGTCTTAGGTCTGCTTGTCACAATGTCAAGCCCAACTGGGGAGAATGAGGAAAGAGGAAATGCTACTGTAACACAGTGTTGTAACTGTTGGTGCAAATGACAGAGGCTTCATTGTTTGGCAAAGAGTGCACCACAATAAGCACAACAAGGAGGATGTAACAGTCTGCACTCACACAAATGAGGGGCAGAAATGTACCCATTCCACTTCTTTCATAAACACACAATTAAGCAGAGTCTAAATGGCATCAGGACAAACATGTTCAATAAGCTATGGTGATATCCACTTGGGGTTTGCCAGTTAATCAGCCAGAACGAGAAGAGGCTAAATTGTTGTTTACATCTGTAATGCTGTACAGAAGACACTTTTCAGGTATATCCAATAAGCTACACTGAAACATTGTCTTGAATTATGTTGATCTAAAGCAAAAAAAAAAAAAAAAAGTTTAAGGCTATTAAAATATTGTAATAAACAGAAACAAAAAACATTATTCGAGTAAAACATCTGGTTCTTACGCTACACGTCTCTGAGCTGTGGGAGGAGCTTGTTGCTATGGTAACATCCAAACTAAACTCAGATGTCTCAAATAAGTAAAGCTAGCAGTTTTTACTTTGTTGTATTTTGCAGACCAAACCCTTCACCTACACATGGCTTTCTTTGGCTTGACTCATCTGGGGTACCAAAACCCTACTGGGGATAAACTGATAGTAAAACCCAGTGGACCATCTCGATTTTGGGGTAAGAAGAAGAGCACGTGTGAATGAGTGTGGATGCTAATCAGCTGTTAGCATGCAAACAGTGGAGCAGTTAGCTAGCTAAACCAAATGAAATTTCTCATACAGGCTACATTTGTCTTGTTTCCAAAAATGTTCTAGGTTATTATTATTAGGTTATTTTATGGGTTAAACTAGATTCAATAATTAGCAAGGATTTATTTTATTTTATTTTATTGTATTTTTTGGCCAGATGCACTGATAAACAAACTTGTAGCTTCAGTAACTTTAAGAATTTAATGCAATAAATTAATACAAATAACACATTTTAATATAATATAAAAAGAGGTTATTGGATTAATCTTGTAAACTGCTTAACATTTTTGGAAATTAAAGATTATGTTAAAATCTTTTAATCCATCTTCATGATTAACTAGTTCCAATTCATGGCTTCAGCTTCTTGTTTTTCCCATTCAAAAGATATAATACTTTGTTGTAAATTGTTATTAGCCATGGTAACGGTCCTAATTTTCCATCATTCTCAAATCCATAGATAGTGCTTTTTAACTAATTGCATGTCTGTTTTCTTTATGTAGCCTTGCAATCCAGAGATAGTTCTTTGGCACCAGGACAGCAGCACAGTGCACCTACAACCCCAGAAGAAGGAACAATTCCCCAGAAACCTCTTCCCTTCAGTTCAGAGATCCACAAAGGCAGCCACGAGCGATACCAGGAGATGATCAGACAGGTTAAAACTCCCAGGTGTAAGTACTTAGGTTAGGCTAAACTAAGACTAAAACAGGTCTACACTAGAACTAACTTAAAGTACATAAGAAAACAAAATAAACAGCCTTGGCTTAAGGTCTAAACTACTTAGAAACTAGAAATAAATCAGGACTAAATAAGACTAAACCAGCTCTAAACATGGACTTGACTAGGCATAAACTACCACTAAACTGGATTAAACTAGGACTAAACCTGGTCTAATCTAGGACTAAACCAGGTCTAAAGTAGATTTAAACTAGGACTAAATTAGGACTAAACTCTCCTTTGTAGAAAAAAATCAAAATATCTTCTCTTTTGAACTGTCAAAAGTCTTCAAATGTTTCATACAAACACTAGGAAACTCATGACTAAAGCAGGTGTAAATACTCTAAGACTAAATTGAGAAAAAAACTTATTGAACCACTGACCATACCTGCATGCACAATTTTAAAACATGCTTTTCTTCTCCCCAGCTCCCAATGAGTTGTATCTGATGCCTGTGACTGATAACCAGCAGTATGGGTGGCTTCAGGCCCAAAGTGCAGAACCGTGGACACAAGTTAAACGTTTCCCAATGAAGAACAGTGAAATGACCAGGTAAGATACTGTGCTGAAACATTACTGATATGAGTGATACCATGTTTGCATTGTTAGACCAGAAGTGAATGATGACCCCAATGCAGTAACCTATGTGAGGAAACTATGCTTTTGCCCTTTACAGTACTTTGCAGTCACATCGTGCAGGGGGTGTTCTACATGTATGTACCATGGAGACATAATGCACACATTAACAAACACAGTTAAAAAAAAGTTTTAAGATTATCTGAAAACTAAAGAAAAAACACAAAATGGCATCACACCACCAGGGAATATTGATGGCAGTTGCAGAAGGGGAAAAAGTGGTGTCTAAAATGTAAATACAGCTGTAATATTTTCAAAAGAGCAGAACAGAACAGAAAATATCAATTTGATAGGCCTACAATTAGACAGAGACTCTATGAAGAATAATTGTTTAATTCATTTTTTATATTGACCAATATTGAACTATACTGCTTTATTTATTACTTACTTATGTGATTCTGTTTTCTTCTGTTTTGACAGATTTGTAACAGAAATGACAAGGACAGATCCGGATTTCACCTTGTTTTGATTTTTCTGAACATTAAAATGCATCAGTGAAGCTTGTTATGGGTACATTGGCTTCTTCTGATGGGAAACCTGAGACTATTGCATAACTTTTTACACCAGGAATGCACTCAATCTTCAGGGTTAATCAAACAGAGATGGGTAGTACTCTGTTACATTTACTTGAGTAACTTTTTGAAGAAATTGTACTTTTCAGAGTACTTTTCTTGCAGCATCCTTGTACTCCTACTTGTGTAATGTTTATTGACTCTCTACAAGTGACAAAAGCTTTATGTTGACAAAATGAAATGATTTGAAGGACATTCGTGTTTCCTGCATCGCTTCTTCAAATATAATGCAATTTTTTTCCATTTTGGGTCTATTCTTTGAAAATACCAGATTTAGTTTTGTTATTCATATTGCATTAACTTAAAATTACATTCCATCAGTTACTCTTTAAGGCACTCTTACTGTTGCATAGTATTTTCACAAATACTTTTTTATTCTTACTTGAGTACAATATTTTGCTACTCTACCCACCTCTGGAGACACCTCACTTAAAACTACTGACTTCTGTTGGCGAAAAATGCCTCATAATATTTTAACTTGTATTTATGCAGTGTTTTTCTGTGAAAAGGTTATTATACTATGAAATATCCAAAAAGAGAATTCATAAATGTTGAACCTGATCATTTATATTAGCAACTAAACCCCCCAAACATCTATATAACATCATATTTCTGCATTTTAACAATATGGACTTTAACTGCCCCATCTGTGTTATGTATGTGTTATATTACTGACTCAAAGTATAAAGTATAAGTTTTGGGACTGAATAAGCTGGTTCGGTGCATGTCTAGTTTAGACCTAGAAATACTGTTCAGACCAGATTAGTACAGTACTACATCTAGTTTAATCTCTGTTTTTAGACCCTATAAGTCTCAGTAGATTTAAAGTATACTTTCTGTTGTGGAACATCATCTGAATGATTCCATGGAAACAGAAAGTAAAAGCCATACTTTGGGACATTCTCCATGGATATAAATGTGTTTTTTCGCCATACTGTGGACATTTCCATGGAGACAGGCAGGTGAGGGCCGTCCAGACCAAAGCAGAGAAAGCATGTTTTTAAGCGCAATAAATACATCAAAAGTTTATAACAAGCTACATACTCTGGCTTTTATGGTGATACTGACTTGACAACTATTTTCCAAAGAGGTATGTAGTGAATGAAAATGCAGAAAAAAGTGTCAAATGAGTAAAGAAGCAATAATAATCAAGAGTATAATCATTATTTTTTTTATTTTTAACTTCAAGGGGAAATGTTATTTTTCTCTGTCGTAGACCTCCCCTCTTCCTGTCCTTTATTTTTGCAAATCGTTCCCCCTTTCCACTCCTTAAACTCAGTAAAATAGAAATAAAACAGAAAATACAGAAGGATTTTCAGGCCTGAGCAAAAACACTGTATCAGTAGTTTGTCTGTTCCCCTAAAACATCCCAAAGTTAACAATCAACACAAGTGTATGGACAGCCAATAGAAATAGATACATACAGAATGCACATTTTTGAAATCCATGTCCGTTCTATCACATTTTTACTGCTGTGAAACTCTTCCTTTGTTGCTTGTTTGTTGGTGTCCTTTATTATAGAAAATTACTGTTATCAAGGTATTTTTGCACATGTTAGACTAGACCGATTTCACAAAACTACGTGAGCCTGCGTTGGTAAAAACATGATCGACTGTTGCTGTTAAATGTTCAAAAAACCATATCACATTTGTCACCAATTATAGAGCAATGAGATAACACAAAACTGTTTGAGAATAAAACTTCTCTTGACAAGCCCTTAAGCTTTTCCATAAATGTTATTATCTAGCAGTCTGGACAGCACAGGCAGGCACAGATCCTGTTTAGTGTTATAACATAAGGCAATTGAACTCAGCTATTGGCATTTGCTTAAAGACTGAGTGGGGCAAAACACTTTTAATAGTAGAATGGCAGCGTCCCATTTCTGTTTACTTGCCTCCTAAAAGTGCATATGACAGGTTTTCATGTTTTTGGAGTTATTGTTTACTTGGGGTAAATATTCATCATAGATTTACATCAGTTACATGGTGGTTTGTGAGGTAAAAAGTTGAAAGGAAAATACAAAATTGCAATAAGTAGTGGTGAGTTCTCAAATGGAATACGTCTACCTATGCCATACGCACAAAGAAAGCATTTGTCTGGCAGTTTAAACATGAATTTAACCATGTTGTTATTTATTTTTATTAGTTAAATAATTACTATTGTGGAATTTAGATGGGTTTTCACCTTTGTAAACATTGTGGTTGCTAGGTCACGTTAAATTAATGAGAGATGGCAATACTAAAGTTATTTCCATTTGGCACGCTTATGCAGTAATTTCAGTAATTGGCAGAAAAGGAATGACGGAACTGAGGAGACAAGGAGACAAGTGAATAGAAATGGGACACAGCCTATGTATTTGCAGGTCTACAATAGGTTGTATTATTAAATAAAGTTACCATATATAAGTAAAGTTGAATGCGGTTTAGAATACTGCTGAAGAGGCTGAAAATAAATACAAAAATGCACAGTGAATCATCTGCATTGAGTTCTCCAGCCAAGGCAACTCACAAGTATTATTGTAACGTCATCAGTGCTTCCCATTAATAGAAGAGACTATACTGGTGTTAAAATGACAACAAAAAACAAGCTGGACAATTAAAATGTAAAACAAATGATACGCTTTGCGTCTTGTATTGTAATAAAGTACACTGATGATAAAAAAAAAAAAAAAGACCTGTTAAATGCTTAAAGGTGCACTATGTAATTTTTATTTTCTGGGGGAGGGTCTGGCACCTGCTTGTCTCCATGGAAATTCTTGCTTTGTCTGGGATGTTTTGCAGTATGACATTAAGCACAGGTAACTATCTCTATAGACACAAGCAGGGCAAGTCTTTTAGCAATAAAAACTTGAATTGAATAAATGGAAGATAGAAGTTTAATGCCATACTGTGGAATATTTCCGCAATAGCATCACCATGGAGAACCCTTCATCAGAAAAAAAATATTTAGTGCAACTTTAAATAAATGCAACAAAGACATATTTATTCTTTTTATCCATGTTTCAGAGGAATGAAAGTTGAAAATGGCATCCATAACTGGAAAAGATATGTGACTGAAACTCATGAATTAAAACAAATATAGTTATTGAATAATTATTATCTTGGACACCATAGTCTCCATAGAAAAATATGGGAAACACTGCATCATATATTGCCAGCTCAAATACTGCATTGTGCAATTGATCAGTTGATACCAGTGAGTTTGACCATAACAACTTTAACATTATTAAACATTGGAAATCATGCTGGTTTTTATCCTTATCATTGGAATGGACTCGTTGCAAGTGTAAAAGTATGCGTAAGCATTAAACAACGAGGAGCTGTGCGTTACGTAGTTTTAACGCAAGTCACGGAGTCGTAGAACACCACAACGCAGCGTGGTATAATATTCATTAATTAATCAGAAGCAGTAGAATCAAACAACATTAATCATACACAAATGATAGATATGGATGAAGGTGATACAAAATACTTATAACAAAATCTGCTCTGAAATGTTCGGCAAGAAAGCAGTTCTGTCGTATCAGAAATCTCACAGTGAAATAGTTATGCCCCTTCAGGATTACAAAGCACAGTATGTAGTCAAAAACCTTACCTCTCGCCATTATTAAAAATCTCCTGAATACTGTTGAATAGATATAGTCTATTATTATTATTATTATTTATTATTATTATTATTATTAGGTCATCCCAGTTGTTGCACTGCTAGATCGCCCATCCTACAATGATTTGATTTATAGCTTAAACTAGAATAAGCAGTCAACGTGATTTAAAAACAAAAAAAAAATATCTAAATGTCTGCTCAGTCAGCTCTTAGAAAACCAATCTGGCGTGAAATTACAATAAGGAGGACCAAATTGTTAACTTTTCCCCTGAAATTGGAAATACAAAAATCACTGCTCAACCTGTCTCTTAATAAAAGGCAATTAAAATGTATGCGAACAGCTCTATGTTACCTGAAATCATATTATATTAAAAGCAAATAAGCTAAACTTCACTAGCAGCTCTTCATTGCTGAGTCTGCTGTCCACAAAATGACTAAAACAACAAATCAGGCATGTCTTTCCTTGCTTTTAGTAATATTTAAGTCTTTGGTCGATAAACTCCTTCTCAGTTTTGACATTAACTCATACACACACAAATGCATGTACGTACACTTTTAAATCGTGTAACTGGATATTTGTGCACGTATCTACCCACACTTTTTCATAAAGGACCTTTTGCACAAAACATTAAGATTAAAATAAATAGTGAGAAATTAAATAGGAGTACCTCTTTATAATTCATGTGAAAAAAATCTGAAAAATAACACAGCGAAATAAAAGTTAGCCTTATGTACAGCTTAAATCTTGTTTTGACACAGGCTAGAAGGCGTTGTATTAAATAAACAGACTTTGCATCTTTCGAGAAGCCTGAGAGAGAGGCTAGACATGAGAAAAACACGTGTCCTTCATCATGTGTGTGGGCCAAAAGTGGCAGAGAACACTTTGTCTGGTCAAGAACACTTTTATGTCTATAGCGTTGGACTGTCCTCTCCATTCAAGTGAAGCTCAGAGAGAGTCTTTGCAGCAGGTTTCAGAGACTGCTAACTGTTTGGAGGTCCATCGTTCAGGAAGTAGGTGGTCATCTCCCCTTTACCTTTGACCTTGACGACCCCTCGGCACTCCAGGACGTAGCCTTTACCCAGAAGCACCTGGTACAGGTCTGTGGTCACCTGGGAATGAACAGAGAGACGGAGATGGGGAGGATTTATTTCACATTCAAATTCAAGCTACACTACTCGATCCTCAATTAGACTATTAATATATGAAACATCAGGAGTAAATACTGGTGATGCATGAATCTATTTATTGTTTCCTGCCAAAGATATTGTCTGACATTGAATATGAAACATTTTCCATCTTTTGGGAATTATAATTTGTTTGTATGAACCTCAACTGGTGAAATGGAATAGGTGAACACCAGAAAAGCAGAACTGTACTTGGAGATACCAAAACACTGGATCTTTTAAAATATATTCTATTGCTGTTTTAATGTACACCACAATAATATAACCCAGTAAGCTCAGCAAGAGTACTACACATACACGAGTGCAATGTGCCACTTCTAGCCAAAGCTGAACAACTGAGTCACTGCGAACACGCCAACAATCCAGCGGTCCCAGACAGCACGCTCCCTACATGCCACAATTGAACAAAGCCCAGAGTCACCGTGAACACGCCAAACAAAGTCTCACTGAGCCATCTAACTGTTGTGTTTCATTTCAAGTTCGGTGCAGTTTATTTGTGAAAAAAGTTCGAAAACAGACCATTCTATGACAGTGCGCCTTATAATCCAGAGCGCCCTATAGTGCAGAAAATAGGGTATATAGGTTGCAGATTACTGATACCTTTCTACAAATCTCAAAATGATTCTCTATTCTGTTATCCTCAGAACAAGACATCTTTGTTTTTTGGCATTTGGATCTGTCCAGGTCCCAGCCCTATCACTGACCAATAGTTTGTATGATCTCCTCCTGAGTACACAGTACTTTAAATACTATACCTGTATGCGGTCAGGTACCCCTGTGCTGTCCATGCGGCTGGCCACATTCACTGTGTTTCCCCAAATGTCGTACTGAGGTTTCCGAGCACCGATGACTCCGGCCACCACAGGCCCAATGTTCAGACCTGAAGAGGAAAAATTATAATCACACATAGTTTCAGTTTAAATGTATGTACTACTATTTACTTAGATTATTTATCTTATTTCGTGATATTTATAACTAGTTTCATTTGACTTGTCTTTTTTCATGCTATATTCATTGCAGTAAGTTTGTTCAGGACATTGATACTATAACTTTTCATAAAATAACTGGATACACATTGCAGTTTTACAAACGTATGAATATTACAACTCTTTAGATGTATATTTTTCAGATGAACCCACACACCTATCTTCATCTGAAAGTTGTTGAAGGAGTGCTCATTGATATACTTCATCTGCTCCCTCAGCCTCATGGCGTAGTCGGCCAGAGCAGTGATGTGAGAGCGCCCCTCTCTGTCGTACGTGGAGTCGTTCAGACCAGACGCAGCCATGTATGTCGAGCCAATCGTCTTTATCTTCTCCAGCTGACGGTACTTCTCCTCACTGATGATCTGGAAATAAAAAATAAATAGATATGATTCATACTTGAAATCTCATCACACTTACAATATTTGACAAGCAAAAATGATCATATGACCATATGTTTCCCGGGCAGTTTCTGCACCTTTATGGTTCATTTTATGGTAGATTCATGTTCTGTCCTAGACTTGACAACCAAAACATAAAGGCACATCCTAGCACATTCCTGATGCATTATTAAAAAACACATATTGTGCTCGTGTCTGCTATATAGTTGCAATCTACGACACCCATGGATCATTATGTTTGACAATTTGGACGTTTTAAATCGCAATATTCATCTGAAACGACTTAATAAAAGAAACAAGCTCAATGGCAGCTGATGTCGCTGGAGTCAGCACCTCCAGGGGACAGCTACACATCACACTAGAGAGCGAGCATCAAAATGAGTATGTGCCACTGCTGAATCCTATGCGTATCACTGATTAAGAAAATAAAATCAGAGAACAAAGGAAGAAAAAAGATAAGCAAAATGGCATCTTAAAAATAAGCGATTAGAGATTGCTCAAATATGTACCAGTCACTCTAAAACATGATTAAAAGCTCTGAAAAGTAGATTTTTCATTAGAAGTCTGCTAAAAATATCATCCAGACATAATTTTCAATGTAATGGCAAATAAAAATATATAAAGAGACATAATTTTTGCACATAATTCATAGCACTAGATGTACCTCATCGAAGTCAGCGATGATCTCATTGAGCAGCCTCAGACACTCCACCCCCTCGTTGTTGGCCTCCAGCTCCACGTAAAACTCAGAGAAGTTACTGATGGAGGCAAACATGACGGCGACGCACTCACACGACTGATAGTACAGCTCATCGTTCCTGCGCTCTCGGGCCAGAAAGTGAGCCGCCACATCTTTAGGCAAAATGTTATGAAGCAGGCGGCGATTATAGGCCTGAAGCTCCTCCATCTCCTCCTTCTCCTCTGTGGCCTTTCACAAATAAACAAACAAATAAGTTCAATGTAAAAAAAAACAAAAAAACACCACACACAAAATCATATTAACAGAATAAAATGTAGGTAAACTGCAATGTTGTATGTTGTTATGGTTAATGCTTTCGTATTATTTTCTCTCTCTTTTTGAACATTTTGGAATGATTCAAATCAAATCTAAAAATCTCCATTCAATCAGACTGTATGATATGAGGTTCCTTTTTCAGACCAAGAATTTGTTTTCATAACTGACAGTATCGACTGTTCACTAGCAGTATTCCTCATGTCATAAATTATCGGAAAACCAAATGAACCTCATTGATCTATTACAATCAGACTGTGTTTTTGTATCAACATGTAAGAATGCCCCAAATGTGAGTGTCAGTGAGAGTTCAAAGGCATGGTAGCAGAATAAATAGGTCATCATTGTGGATCATAATAGGGAGATGGCACCCTCTTGTGGATAATGTATGTACCTGTAGTTTCCAGAGAAAGTCGAGCCTGGCAGTGGACTCGACCTGCTGCGCGTGGAGGTACAGCGCCAACACGAACACAGTGAGGATCACAGGGGTCATGACCCTCAGCGACACTTTGGTCACAACATACGGGCTGAAAAACAAGCACTTGCTCAGGTAGACTAGAGACAATGACATAAGGACTGCACAATTAATTTAAATGAAATAGAAACAATTATCAAATCTCCAAGACTGCAATTAGTTAGTTAGTAGTCCTGTGCAAAGAAAAAAATATTGTGTGTTGTTATAGAAAATTCTTGTTGTACCTGTAGTTTAGACCTCGACACACACGAGATTCTTATATTAGTTCATATTTCAGTCTTTTTTCAAATGTTAACTCTCCTGGAGTTGCTGTATAATGTGCATGCTTAACACCTAGACCTACTTTTTAAAAAATATATTGTAAATCTAACTGCATAATACTTATCAGAAAACTCACTATAAGATTATATTTAAAAAAAAAAAAACATACAGCCTTACAATGAAAAATAAAAAATATCTGGAAACACTAGAGACTATGACAGACAATCAAACAGAAAACTTACCACTGGATTGTAGTTTCATTGAAACTGGACCTAAAGGAAAAACAGACAACTCTGAGCTAGTTTGTACACATTAAAAAGCAGAAAAATATAGGAATATTTTTCTTACCACTGAGAAAAAGTTTCATTTAAATCACTGCAAAAAGAGAATAAAAATGCCTTTAACATTACATTCCCTTAGAACACTACATCCAGTGTCTGTATATGGTATTTTAATTGGCTTTGTAGCTGATGTTCAAAATCTATTTTGTTTTATTAGAACTTTTTTGGCACAAACATTCCGCAATACACACACATGTAGAACACCCCCAGAGTGATGTCACTGCAGTATAAATAGTATTGTCTACTGTTTTTGGAATATTACGAACACACTATAAATCTGCAGTGTGCGCTGCCTCCAGTGGCCACTGCAATTTCAAGTACTATGTGACATCACACAGGACTGCCCTGATTACATTACAGCCAGGTGTTTCTGACTACACACACCTCCTCTTTTCATTAGTTTAACACACATCAACAGTTTAGCATAGCATTGACATATTTGCAATGTGTTTGTGGGCAGAGTTTAGGCCTGTATTTCCACTTTAATCACTGAACTGCTCTCAAAATACACACATGGCGTTGGAGGTGACAAAGAGGTCTGCGTTGTCGAACAGCGCCACCTGTGGCCACTCCATGAGCAGCAGGAAGGTGAGCTGGATGAGCAGCATCAGAGCCAGTTTCCCAATACTACTGATCTGCAGGAAGACGGAGCAGGCCAGCAGTGTCAGCAGCACACTGTAGCTGAAATACTAACACACAGAGAGAAAGAGAGAGGGGAGAGGGCTGTTAGAAGTGAACATGTTTATTATCAACCTAATGTTATATCCGTGTTCCCAGAAATTAAGAAATTATGTAATAACAGGTTTTGTTTTTCTTAATCAAGTACAATTAGTTTATTCCACAGACAGCCAATTTGGTTTAAAATTAGAAAAAAATATATATTGAAAAAGAGCTACATAATCTAGGCCTTACAAGTAAATGCATCCAAATAAATACATCTTCTACTCAAACTACTACATAAACATTAAAGTGAATTCAAGCCATTTTGTAGATTATATTTTTTACAGTAGAGAAGAGTGAACTCTCACCTCAGGGAATGGGCAGGAGGGGCCTTGGTTGGGGCAGACTTCCAGCCCGCCCTCTGCAGACACATTCAGGCTACGGATCAAACACGGCGTTACCATTTTCAATGAGAAGTTTAGGCTCTCGGCCACACACTCCGACAAACTTCTGGTGTCACAGGCAAACTGCAAACAAGGCACAACAAGACAGTCAGTAACCAAGGCTACAGATTTAACCAAAGACTGCACTTATTACTTCCTGTTATCTGTCTGAATTGGGAGCTACTAATGTTGCTTTAGCACTTGACAAATTATAACAAAATATTATATCCTTTCAATGATAAAAAGTGTTCAAAATGTCACATATAAGAGGAAGCTAACAATACATGCATAGAATAGTTGCAAATTTCAAATAACTGTATGTACCATTTTACTACAATAGTTTTCTAGATTTTTAGATACACATGAAAGATATGAAGCAAGATTTATGGCATTATTTAGTAAAGAAAAAAGTTAACTCTGCACAATACTTTTCAACAAAGCAAAATATGGCTAATTTGAGGGTTTGAAAATAAAACAAAAAAGAAAAAAGGTTGGTGGTTTTTATTGGTTATCTAACTTTTTTTCCTATGCTACATAAAATCTTAATTCATATATTTGGTGCCATTTGATATATATAAAAACAATAAAAAAATAAAAAATAAATAAAAAATATTGAATGAGATGGTGTATCGAAACTTTTGACTTTGGTGATGTAGACAGACTAATAATAAAGAATTACGTGTGTGAATGAAACAAACCCAACTCCAGGTATGTTTTTGATAAGGTAACCGTATTATAACATGGCGTAATGCTCACAAGAGTCAATTCTGTGTAATACAACACCTTTAAATTTCTACTGGTTGATTTGGTTTATTGTATTTTTTATATCATTGAAACTCACCATATTGACAAAGGCAGATATAAAAACAAGGAGGATGCTGAAGACTCCCACCAGGGTGCTGTTAGTGCGAGACTGGACAATCTTTTTAGAAACCGTCTGCATCGGGGACGGAAAAAGCTAAACAAGAGACAACAGCAAAATGTAATGCAAACATACAGAGCAAAGCCTTGTATCTCATGAAATCCACTACCTTAATGCAGGAATATATGGCACAGATGAAGAGGATGTTGGCGAGGATGATGAAGATACTGATATAGATTCCCAACATGACTGGGGTGCTGGAAAAAAGGGTGCACATTTTATTCTAAATGTTGAAAATGGTGAAATAGTAAGTTTTAGGAGTCTTGTACTTACTGTGGGAATACGACTATTTGTATGAATGATATAAAGCAGAATACTAGAAGAGTACAGGCAACATATCCACCGAAACGGTCGTCCACTTTTTTGGAATACTACAGAAAAAAAACATCTTTGTGAGTTGAAATGTCTGAAGTTGCTATACTGATCATGATTTGGAGTAGCTTTGACTAGTTTAGTATGTTACTGTGATAGAAATTTAGATGGTGGAAAGATTTCTCTCAATCTGTCTTGTGTAAATGAATGTGATTTCTGCCTGAAACCCAGACCAGTCATTAATATGTGTAAAGGTTCATCAGGCACAACTCTCTCCGCCTTCAGGAAGTTCTTTGTTATCATCAACTGTATGTTCATTTAGCACCAGCCTCTGAAACCAAACTCACTCTGCTTTGATATGTATGTAACTTGTATTTCTGTATAAATACTCAGAGCTCAAATGCTCTGGCAAATGCTCTGGGAGATGCAGTAGGAACATACTGCTGGTGGGGAGAGGCTGTTGGGCTTTGGCCGGAACAGGCCGAGGCCCTGTCCATATCTGCTGTAACAAGAATAAACCTTAGTCTATATTCCAAAAACTCATCGGGCTTTGAAAATTGATTCATTATTTATCTTCAAGAGATAAATAATTTTTTGACACGACATTACCGTTTTACAATTTTAATTATTTATCAACAATGTAATAAAATCAGAATTAGCAAGAACAATTGATAGACTTGACTTTGACTTTGTCATTAAATTACCACAGGAAAACGTTCCTTAAAACAAGATTATTCTGAATTCAAGTGAGTTAAAACCATGGTTAAAACTTATAAAATAGCCTGCTCATGTCATGACTCCTTTAGTGTTTCGATACAGACCTTTTTCTCCAGAGAGGAGGTCTGGAAGGTGAGGAGGAACTTCTTGACGTGGTCTTTTCGGAGCTGGTCGATGCTGCGAGCATCGATGGCCCGTCCTAAAAACTCGTCCACTTCATCCTCTGGGTTCATAGCCTCCTGAACACCACGGCTGCACATGCAAAAATAAGAAAATATGACATCATTATGTAACAATACTGTAAATAAATGTGAGTCTGCAATAAGTCATGATTCACTTTTGATGTATGAAATGAAAATGAAATGTATCAGATTATTAGACAGAAGTCAGTAGACCAGTCAAAAAATACACTCAAGGTTATCATCATTTTAAAATAACATTACTCAAGTATAAGTACAAATAGTGGTACAAGAAATTTGATAGAAGAGTAAAAAGGGAATTTGGGAAAACTGCTACTCAAGTCAGAGTAACTGAATGAAAGTTACAAATTTATAATTTGAAATTAATAATATTAAATAATGCAGAAAATATGGTAATGCAAATAATGGAACACAAAAACAAGAAAAATGGTTGAAATATAATTTAATATTGTCAACTTAGACTTATTCACAGTGGGAGGAGCAACTAAAAGACATGATCAGAGCTGCAAACTGAATTGCCACATTGTAGATTTTTGGGATTACAGTACTTAAATAAATACATATCAAACCATCAGACAGTTTTTAATCTGTCTGTGTGCACGACATATCACAGTGTGGGGACAAAAATCTGTATACAGATATAGGCAAACAGTAACTATGATTCAGGTTCGGATTGGTCTCCAGGAAATGTGTGCGTGTGTGTGTAGTGGACTCACTTGTCTTTGCTGGAGGTCTCATCTATCCCCTGCAGAATCAGAACATTTGTGATTAGAGGGGTAACTCGACTGTCACAGGTCAGGTCTGTGGTATTCTAGTCTCACCATCTGTCTGAAGACTTTGGAGTCTTTGGTCCTGGAGAAGGTCCGGTCTGGGACCCAGCGCGGCATCAGACCCTCGTTGGAGTTGGCTCTCGTCCGCTGCATCTTCGCCATCATCGCCTTCTCCTCTTTCTGCTCACAAAAACAATGTAAGATGGTGTAGTATACATGTTCTGATATTACAGCAGCAAACCAATGAAGGTCCTGATTCTCTCACTGGGTTAACTGGGGGTTTTGTTCATTTTAGTTTTCTTTGCAAATTTACAGTTGTCAGTAATCATTGAAAAACTAATGAAAACTTTCATTCCTTTTCATACCCCAGTCTTACAAATGACTTTGTATTAACATCTCTATGGAGACAAGCAGGCGATGGCTCTCTCATCAGTAAAAGTTACACAGTGCACTTTAAAAAGCATGTGTGTGGCACTGACCCGCTTCTGACTGCAACCAAGCACCAGAAAGGTCTCGATGCTGTTCTCTTTCAGGTAGGCATTTCTCTCTCCTCCAAAGCCTGGTTCCACCTCGTAGTCCCCGTTCAGATATTGCAGCGTGGCTTTGGTGATGTGGATGCGACTGGCAACACAACACATGTTTAAACACTGAACACTAAACTAGATATTATTTTTGCAAAGGAATAAATTGATCTAAATGACCCTCACCCAGCTTTGCCTCCTGCCTCCATGTGGTTGGCCAGAGTCACGTCATTGGACCACACGTCAAACTGCCACTTCCTGAGCCCCAGTACCCCACAGTGCACCCGGCCACTGTGAATGCCCACACGCATGTTCACGTTTACCCCCGTCACCTCACGGACAAGCCTGAAGAGGAAGAGTTTAGTTCAGATACTGCTATACACTGTAATTGTTCACCCAGGACTGTTTGAAACATAGAATGTTTGACAGTGTGACATCGCCCATAGACTACAGCTCCAGTCAAATGAAGCTCATGAGGCTAGCAGTTATAAGAGTGAATTTGGAGCCAAGTTCCATATTAGGAATAGGATTTCATTAATGAACAAAATGGAAAAATAATAACACCAGGATCATTTATAGCGTGTTAATACAAACATGTTAAGACCAAAATGACGAGGTTGACAGCAGCAGTTACAGAAAAAGGGGTGACAATTTTTGAATGTAAAGTCACTGCCACTTCTTATTTGGAAAGCAGGACAGCTATGTCTATTTACAGTCAGAAGTTTCAAAGGGTGTGATATGGACAAGCTGAAAAAGCTGAATCACCACTTCCCTAAACATAATGACAATACCATACACATTTGAATAATATTGTAACCTATTACTATTAAACGTGCCCCAAACACTGGTCAGTACTCACGAGATGGCCTCTATCATGTCGACGCCCATCTCCACACAACAGTGGGCGTGGTCAGCCCGAGGCTCAGGTAAACCAGACACACAGTAATAACAATCACCCAAGATTTTAATGCGCAGACAATGGTTCTCCTGAGGAAGAAGAAACAGATTTGACAGACTTTTAAATAAATGGAAAGTTGTACAGACTGTCACAGGTTAAACCAAACTTAAGTTTGAAATATTGAAAAGAAGGGCGAGACGTGAATACTACATGTCTGTGCTGTGAATGCATACTACATTTGTGGCAAATTTAAAATGGTAAATAGAAAATAATAGTAATAGAAGTACGAGGGAACACCATTAATGTAAAACTGTGCATGTCCAAATATTTTCTTTTTATGTTACATTTTTGTCTGAGATGTTGTCTGCCATAAAAAAATAAAATAAAAAAAAACATTGCTAAAATGTTGTGTAATCACCATGTTACCTTTTATTGTTTTGAAAAGGCTACATTCACCAAAAACAGTGTTAACACATCTAATAAGTATATATAGCATAGTAGAAATTTGCATAATAGCCTTCTATAAATGATTTCATATTAGTTTATTATAGTATATCTAACATTACTCACTGATGCCAGTTTGTCAAATCGGGCGAAGAGTTCGTTGAGTGTCATTACGAGCTCCTGAGCCGTGCACTGAGAGGCCAGACTGGTGAAGCCCTCGATGTCTGCAAACAGGATACTGTGGAACACACAAAAACACAGAAACGTATTTAATATTTGCATACTGATACTTTGCAGCTGATGTCATCAACATTCCCTGGGGTGTGATGTTAACTGCAGGCACTGCTCTGTCTGAAGCTCTATTACTCAAATTAAACTTAAATCTGAGCTTTTATTTAACTCAATCTGACCAGAAAAATCCGACTGAGCTGGAACTAAAACAGGTGAGATGATTTGTGCTCTTAAACAAGTCTCTCACACATAAAATTAGAGTCATAAGCTAGCTAGAATCAGCCAACAGTTTTTCAGTTAGTCACTCTCACCTTTTTGTTGAAAATCAAACACCTACACAGGACCACGAACACTCATATTGATCACAGGCTCCTGAAATGTGTTATATTTTGTGTTTTTCTTGGAGTTTTTTAGTTGTGTTTGCTAATGTGTGCGTTGTGTTACCATGGAAACTGATGAACATTCCATCATAGGCATACTTGTAGAACACCCCTAGAGTCATGTAACTGCAAAATGAATATGCGTAATATGTGCTACTATGTTGAACTTATCAGAATTTAGGGCTGGACAATATATTACAAAACTATTGATATCTTCATATCGCTAGGAGTGAAATCGCAAGTATGTTGTAAATGCTGCACATTTGAAAGATTTAAGCTTTTTTTGAAAATCAGAATCTAAGAATGCCATATTTGTATATTGCTGTTTTTGCTACCAACTAGATACTCAGAAGAACAAGAATGGCAACTGAAAAATTTACATGAAGTTGGACATTCCTCGAACAGTTTTAGAAAGGTCTATATATCAGAGTTAGTATAAAACATGTTAAAATTAACCAAACTATTATTTTTCATGATGAAAATGACATAAAAATTGGCATAAAACTTTTGAGTGTGCAATTTTAGTATTGAGACATTACCACTTTGCAGCACCATAAAAATACACTATTACTTTCTTCCATACATGCCCCTGTTTCTTCCGTACATGCCCCTGACCTTGAGATTGTGCCCCCTGCTGAGCTCAGGGCCTTGGTGCAGTGAATGGAGCTGTTTCTTTGCTCACTTGTGTAATTGAAAATGTGCCGATGCGCTCCATCTTTGGGGATTTTCTGATCCTGGCACTTGGTGATTAAGTATTCCCTCACTAGTGTTAATTAGCCTCCACTTTGCCAAACCACTCTCCCTGTGCTGTAACTGTGTGAGCCTGCTCTGTGAGAGGAAGCTACCGAGCACACATATGGTATGAGCATATATATAGAAGTACGGGGCTGTGCAATTAATGCAATTGTGCTTGAATCGAGATCCTATCATTTCAAATTGTCCTTGTCTACAGATAATCACTTTAATAAAAACACATGATTTGGAGCAGAGTTCAGGCTTTGGAAGAGAAAATGTCATGTTGTGTTATGTGGCTTTAATAAAAATAGGGCAAAATGTTCTTTTTTTGTTTTGTTTTTATTTAGTTTTTACGTTCTAGACCAGCCCTATAAACAAGGTGACAGTAAAATGTATCTGAGCAGTTTGAACAACAGACAAACTGACTGAATAATAAGGTAAAGTTAATGTGCTATAAAGCCACATAAAAAGCATTTTACTTTCTTTTTTTTTTTTTTCAAAATAATGGAACAGAGACAAGTGAAGTTTTGGTCTACATTTGCATAAAAGTAAGTTGTTTTTGTTTCTAAAATGATCACGATTATTTGCTTACAATTAAGTTTCGACCTGAATCATCACCACATCTGTACATATTATTATTGCTTATTATATGTATGCAATTACATATGTATTAACTTCCCTGTGTTTAAATATATAAAATTGTCACAACTATTTCACATTCTTCCAATTATATTTTGACCTGAATAATAAAAATTATCAATTATCCAATTAACCTTGACATTCTGATTGGTTGCATTTTGTATTTTTGCATGTACTTATTTGTGCAGCAGACAGGAGCTGACCTGACGTTGTCGTGCTTCTGGATATAGATCTTATGGAACATCATGTCTTCCTTCTTGGCATTGATGTCAGCCTTCATCTCCATGGCAACGTGCCTAGGCAACACAGAGAGCAGCAGCCGTTCCTGGAAACAGCAACAAAATGCAGATCAGCGTGTCATTCATAACATCAGCCTCTCTCACTTTCTCTCTCACTTTCACTCTCTCTTTCTCAATTTCTCTCTTTCTTCTTCTCTCTCTCCATCCCACTCAATTTAAATTTCTCTTTCAATCTATCTTAAATTTCTCTGCCCTTCTGTCTGTCCCTCTCTGTCATTCTCCCTTTTCTCTCTCTTTCTCTCTGACTTTCTTTCTGGTCTCTCTTCTTCCTCTCCCTCTTTCTCTCTCATTCTTTGTCTTTTTTTCAAAATCTCTCCCTCATTCCTCGCTCTCACTGCCCGTATGTCTCTCTCTTTCCCTCTCTCTCTGTCTTTCTTTCTTTCTCACTAACTTTCTCCATCTCTTTTTCTTTCAATCTGTATTTCTCAAGTTTTCTCTCTCTCTGCCCTTCTCATTACCCCTCTACCCACTCTCTCCTCTCCCATTTTCTCCTTCCTCTCTCTCTCCCCCTTTCTCTAGACCACCCCTTCTGTCTATCTTACTGCCCCCTCCTTCCTTCTCTCTCTATTTCTCTCTTGGCTTGAGCACTCTCTTATTTTCCATTGGTCACATCTGAGGCTCATTCTTTCATTCATAAAAACAAAAGTACTAGTCATCCCTGTGTGATGGTCTCTTAAGGTCAAATCAAGCCAACTCAATGTATTATCAATGAATCTAATGAAAGTATCGCAATGGGAGAAACTGGATTGACAAATGTGTTATTTAGTCTATGGTTTACATTAAAACGAGTTAAGTTTCTTACTTTGTGCTACCAGATTCTGAGGTTGAAATCACTCAAACATCAGTGAGATCAGATATAGTCAGCTTTTGTAAAATTGTCTATAAATTAAGGGCCGTATATTACTTTTATTATTTTGTCACCTATCTTATATGTTGCAATACACAGACCCTGCATCTTTAACATGAGTTCTTCACTCAAACTGTAAACACTCTGTAAATGGTAGGATGCAGATTAAAAATGATTTGGGACTTCACATTTGTAAATGTTCATTCATGTAACATGATCCTTCTAAAACCTACAATAACCAATTTAGCTGAGTGCATGTCAGAGGGGACAGCATTTAAATCAATTACACTTTATTGTCCCACTGGGAAACAGAGCTGCAGAACAGGTCCCAACATGTATTACCACCAACCACAAGAGGGCAGCGAAGGAGACAAATATTACACATATTTTAACATTTCAGCTATAATTAAAACTCTATAAGATTAGATAAATTAAATTAACTAGATAGAATAATTATTGTATATTCTGGTAATAATGGTAAAACCCTAATTTAAAAGGTTGATTGATTTCTCATTTATTGCTTGTAATTTTTACAAAAATATAGTATATTGTTGTGTCTAACATTATTGCGAACTATATTACTAATGCTTTTTCAAGACATGGGTGGACAATCGGGTGCTCTATGTAACTTTTGTCATGGAGGGTCTGTCATCTGCTTTTTCCATGGAGATGTTTCCTTTCTTTAAATAAATAGACTAAACCCTGCATAATTAAACAAGTTTTGCTTTCCCATCATTCATCAAGTTATTTATTGATTTTAACTGAACTGACAGGAAATTCTCATGTTTATTTATGGTATTATGTAAAGCACTATAAAACATGTTGAAAAGTGGCACTCAAATAAAGATATTATTCTTAAAAAGGGGGTATATTACAAGCCAGGCTGGCTCCACCTAGTGCCTCCACTCAATTTCATTTCTGTCCAGCGACTAGATCAGGAATCAGAATACACTAGACGGTTTGCAAGAACCCTGGAAATTGTAGACCGGCACTGGCCAATCAGTGAAGAGCTGTGAAGCTTAACGTTAAACTCAAGCTCCTGTCTGGGTCCCTTTTGTGGTACAACACAACAGTAAACAAAACGGTTGAGATGGATGTAGATGAAGCCATATATTCGATCAAGGATTTAAAGCAAAAAAGAACAAAGAGAACGTTTGGTGAATTTTATCAAGGGGAAAGACGTTATTGCCCTTCTTCCTATGGGATTTGCTTAATATAACAGTTAGCCCCATTAGCAGCACGTTACATACGTCATGACCAAATAGCAGCGATTGGTTAAATTTAAAAAAGTACCTGCCTACCATCGAGCGAACAAATCTGCTGCAAGGTCAGACGGTTTCCATGAAGTGAAACCAGCTGATGAATCAGGCTAGTATTTCACTTCTATGGGGTACTAACTGCTAACACATATTTAGATCACCATTTTACCTTTTATTGTTTTTGAAAATGCCATATTCACCAAAAACATATTAACAGTGTAAAAAGGTTTTATAGATTTTTATGAGTTTCTCCTCCCTCTGCTCCCTGGGTTAAGTCAGTTTTGTACCATGTTTTTGCACATTTACGGAGAATTGTTGTGTGGGAGCATGGGTGACATAGGCTTGTGGGTTGAGCATTGCACTGAGTCGTACAGCTATAGGGCAAATAGAGCTCTGGGGGAGATCACTAAAATACTCAAACATGAATAGATGACATAAAACCTCTTGAGGCATATTTTTGATGAGGGAACAATGTTACAACATGGTAGAAAGTGCTTGTTGAGTGTTTCCTGTTATACCTGTTGCTGATTCTCCCTCTGCAGATGTAGCCTCGCCTGAATGTATCCTCTGGTCTCCTGAAAGGCCTGTCTCTGGGACACTTCAGCCGGGTAGTGAGTGCAGATCCCAATGATGTTTGTGCACAGGAAGATCAGAACGTTAGCGCTCACCTGCACAACAACAGAGAAAGACATGAAAATATATGTGAAACTTAACAGAGAAGAGTTAGACATAATTACTATATCGACGTTTAAGAACAATATTTTTGGGGTACATTTTCTTTGCACTACTGGGAAATTTGTGGTTATTTTTTTGGCTATATGAGATTAAAGATGAGATTTATGTTGTAAAATTATTAATTAATACTGTTTTTGTTGTTTAAATTTACTTTAAATTTAATGACAGTGGCATAAATTAGTTTCAGTATTATTGTTTATCATCTATATTTTCTTCAGCAATGTATCATGCTTCAATTTTTTTTATCGTGATGGCCTAGTCAGACACCAAAGACTGAATGATAAGTGGAAATAACATAAGTCAAAACTGTGTCATTATTTTCCATTCACATAATTCAAGCAAACCCAGGAGCATCATTTGAGAGCACTGACTGTTGATCTAAGAGTCTCATGTGTTTCACAGAAAAGTTCTGACATTAAGTGAATCTACTGGTCATCCATATATACCAAAATACTATCACTAGGGAACTGAACTCAACATGTAGTTAAAGGAGCATTAAAAGTAAGGATGTAAAGATATCCAAATCTCTTCGGTACGATACTTTCATGATATGCATTTCACATTACAATATTTTGTGGAGGCTAACAAAATTGTGAATATGCCACTTTTTCCTCTTTAAAAAGCCTTGACAAGATTTAACCTAAAGTACTAAGATTTAAATTTCTTCATGTAGTCTGCAGTGAAGTGAAGCAAAGGATCATGGTCTATGTAGTTCCCTCTGTTTTTTTTTTTTTGTTTTTTTAGCTATTGCTGCACCATAACTCTTAATTTAAGCAAAGAGACTTGAATTCGATATATTGTGACGGTCCATGATATTATTGTGAGAATTTTGACGATACGATATCATGATATTTCAGTTATTGTTACATTCCTACTAAAAGGTGTAACTTTCTGTTGGTAGTCAGTGACTTGTCTCCATGGAGATCTTAGTTAGGTTAGGCTAGGTTATTTGACATTTGTAGTTTAAAGCCACATTGGAAAACATCTGCAAGAAGCTCAAGCTGCCCATGAGACATTAAAAAACTAAACATTAACAGCAGACATACTGGCACTGTGAAATAAACAAGTTACAAAAGTTAAGTAACTAAACATACAAAGTAACTAAACATATTAATGCCTTCCCTGGAATGTTCCACAGTGGCATTAAAACTCTGTCTGCTCACTCACAAGTGCTTCTTTTGCAAAAGAAACGTGTCTCTCCAAAAATCTAACATGCAACTTGTTGAATGGCAACACTTAATGCCATACTGCAGAACATTTCAGACAAAAAAATAACATATCTATGGAAACAAGCAAGTGGCAAACCTCTACCTGAAAAGTTACTTGGTGTACCTTTAAAGGGCCAATATATTTCTGATATTTCTCATCAAAACAAACCTGGAGTTTTGTTTTGTTTCATTCACACGTTCTACACACAAACCTGCATATTTAGGCTGAGTTCTTCTCTCAAACAGAAATCATCTGTTCCATGGCGTGATGTAATGCGGTAATACACGAAGTGCTCCACTATGTTTTTAAATTCCATATGCCTTCACTAGAATCATTTGGATAATTTCAGTCCTGGAATTGCTAATCTCTGATGAACAAAAGGTAAAAGGTAGCTGTTCACTTGAAAACTACCAAGGTGGAACTGAGTATCTTGAGCTTTGGAGACGTAGACAGAGTAAAAAAAGGGTTACTCAAACATGAAACAAAACACAACTCCAGGCATGTTCTTTGATGAGGTAACAACATTCTAACACAACTTCAAATGTATAGGACCTTTAAATAATATGTATAATATAACATAATATGTCTTCTTTTTAGACTGACAAAGTAGCACCTGTGAGTAGTTTCTCTCTTGTACAAATATAGGAGTGTGAATGTGATTGTTGCACATCCCCTCCATTGATTTGTCTCTGGGGAGTTACGGTTTCCTGTACGTGCAGAAAGACACAAGCCACTGGATGCACTGTATAACTAACATACGGTACATGATGATTTAAACATGTGTGTCTCTGTCACAGTGGCTACAATAGACAGATTTATGTATGGTTCCAAGCATACATTATATACAGCACGCTTCCTCAAAGGAAAATTAGATGGATCCATTGTTAAGGTCTGTCAAGGGGATCTCATTGTTTCGGTTTTTACTGTTACATATTGCACTCTTTTCTGATCTATTGTCATGTTTCCTCGTTAGGAGCATACCTGGAATTTTGTTTTATTCCATTCACACATGTTTAACACACAAACCTGCATATTTAGGCTGAGTTTTTCTCTCAAACAGAAAACACTGTTCCACCTTGTGATGCCATACAGGAATTGCTCCACTGTTATTAATAATCACTTGGATGATTTCAGTCCTGGAATTGCCAGTCTATACTGAACAAGATATTGGTAGCTGTTAATACTGCTTTATTACATCACAAGGTGGACCAGAGCATTTTGAGCTTTGGAGATGCAAACAGACTAATAATAATAAAGGATAACTCAAACATGTATGAATGAAACAAAACACAGCTCCAAGTATGCTTTTGAAGATGTAACAACATCATAAGATGGCCTAAAGCTCACAGGAAACAATTTGTGTATATAGAACCTTTAACCATGCATGATTCTTGTTTTAATTTAGCAGCATTTTGAACATACTGCAGGTTTCACTCAAACTGTAATGTTCCTGGATGTAGAATAATGTTATGAAAAAATTAAATCTCAAATCAAACCGCAATCACAATGCTGGTCATATAACTCAGCCCTGCAAAACATTACATCCTTAGATAAACAAGATAATAACATATAAACAATAAGATAATGTTTTATACAGAGCTCCAGTGTTTGTGTTTGTGTTGTGTGTTGTGTGTTTAATGTTGAGGGGGTGACCTTTCGTGTCCTACACAGTCCTAAAGCTCATCATGGGAATATTTTCTGATCTGTCATCGACCACTTTCTCAAAACAGCTGCGAATGTTTATGCCACAAGACCCCAGCTCCCCTCTCCAGAGACAGAGCGCAGTCTACTTCAATAAGAATACAGTACAAGGAAATATAGAACGGAAAGATTCATCAAACTCTATCAAAATTACTATCTGAATAAACGCAACTAGCAAATCTCAGATGTAGCAACACTTGTGGTGTATTGTTCTCTACAATATTTAGTCTATCTCTTGTCATGATGATGAATTCTGGCTTTCAGCGCTAAGGCTTATTACACTAACACAATGGTGCACACACGTTTTTAGACAATACATTGGATATGGTCTTACTCTTGTTCTGAAACAGATCAATTATCTATATGTGTTTCAGTATCAGTACTTGCTGAAATTAACCTAGTTTTCATTTTGTCAGTTGTCCATGGGCTTCTATTATGTATACATTTGTAAATATTCTTGTTATATGTGTTTTTCGTACTTTTATGGTGCACTGTGTAACTTTTTGATTGAGGGTCCGTCACCTGCTTGTTTCTATGGATATGTCAATGCTCTGCCTGGAATAGTCCACAGTATGACTTTAAACAGCTCTGCTTTACATTTATTCAATTATATGTGGTTTTATATCTCAAACATACCTAGAAAAACTGGCTTTCTGACTGTGAGCGGGCTTGTCTCTCCACAGATCTGACCTGTACCTTGGTCTAGTTTACTCTCCATGAAGATAGGAAAGTGTAATATCATACTGGGAAACATTCTAGACAAAGCAATAACATCTCCAGGGCAAAAAAACATTTGATGGACCCTCCACAACGCATTGTTAAGTAGTCTCAAATGTTGTTGCACCTGGACATCCAATGATAAAATGTGCACAGTGAACTAAATCTTAGTTTAGAAAAATGTACCTATTAAAAAATATATTAGATATAAAGTGGAAGAATTATATATTTCTACGGTGACTTATATCTTAATTATTTCTATTAGTCTACATGTGTGAAGAACTATACCTGTATAGCCTGTCACAATAAGAAATTTTGAAGCGTGATATGTTGCTAAAGTAAATACAGACAATAATACTGAGCCCAAACCATATAACAGATAACCCCTAAAAAGTATTCTAAATGTACAATATGGTTAAAAAGACATAAAAACATGCAATAAATAACACTTAAGTAATTAGTTTGCATCTATAATGACTCATAGAAGTTCATAATTCAACACTCTAAAGCTCAAATCTCATTGCAGTACAGAAAAATAACAAAACATTTCTCAATAGTACAAACAACAAATACTGTCTCCCAAAAACATTTATCATGTATTGAAGTTGATATAGTATGTGTCATGCGAGGCCTATATACAATGTCTTTGGTGTGTGGCTTTTTCATATCTATACTGATTATTATTGCCATCTTGTGGTTAGAAAAGAAAGTGCACTGTGGGTCAACGAGTCCAAACCCAAACCTGCTTATGCGCTGCAGTTATACATAGTTAGGCTAAAACAGCATATATGGCCTTATGTGCTTTATGTACAAGTGATGCATAAAAATGAAATGTCTCTCTCACTAAAATGCATGAATAAAAGAATTCAAATACCAACAAAAACATCCACTTTAACCAAACTATTCCACGTAACACGTATTTACAAGAGATGCCTGAAATAGAATGAGCTCCATAAAAGACGACAATAGATAAGAGTGTGACTGACAGATGTTGAGTAGGAAGGAAGTGAGTGGTTGGAAGCTGGACAAGACAAACACACACAAAAAAAAAAAAAAAAAACATGGCCGACGGGAGAAAGAAGAGTGAAAGGGAGGGATGAAGGGAGAGAGAGAGAGAGAGGGGATGGATGAAGAGAGAGAAGGGACAGAGAGGACAGTGACAAGAGGCAGATGCTCCACTGTTTACATTACACTCTCACTGTTCAAGCTAAGGCACCGGTCCTACCTCAACCTGCTCTACAAGTTTAAAGGGGACATATATATGAAATTGTTTTATGAGCTTTGTACAGTAGGATGATAGTGTTCT